GCCGTCAGCCCTGTCGCACTGTAAGAACAGCTGCAGGTCGTCTAACCAGACCTCAAAATCAATGGCGCGACCCTCAGCGTCAAAAGCTAGGACACTAGGGGTAGCCATGGCGACGACAGCGACGCAGTGCAAGCAGTAGGGAAAGAGCTCGCAGTGACAGTGGGACTGTGCTCACCAGGCAGGGCAGGTCGTGCAGCTCTGCAGAAAGGCGGCTCGGCGACCGGGCGGCTCGGGTGCACAGCGGCTCGGCTCCCGGGCTGCTCGGCGGCTGGGCGGCTCGGGTGCAGGGCGGCTCGGCTCCCGGGCGGCTCGGCGGCAGGGCGGCTCGGGGGCAGGGCGGCTCGCTCCCGGGGGGCTCGGCGACAGGGCGGCTCGGCTGCTGCAGGTGGGGCGGCAGGGCCGCGTGAAAGAACCGGGGCGGGGCCGCGTCAGAGCCGGCGGCAGGGCCGCGGGAGGGCCGGTGGCGGGGCTGCTTGAGAGCCGGGGCAGGGGCCTCGTGAGAGCAGGGGCGGGGCCGCTTCAGAGCTGGCGGCAGGGCCGCAAGAGAGCCGGCGGCGGGGCCGCCTGAGAGCCGAGGCAGGGGCCGCGTCAGGGCCGGCGGCGGGGCCGTAAGAGAGCCGGGGCGGGGGCCGCAAGAGAGCCGGCGGCGGGGCCGCAAGAGAGCCGGCGGCGGGGCCGCGTGAGAGCCGGGGCGGGGCCGCGTCAGGGCCGGCGGCGAGGCCGCGAGAGAGCCGAGGCGGGGCCGCGATCAGGAGGCGGCGGCGGGGCCGCGTCAGAGCCGGCGGCGGGGCCTCGTCGAGGCGGGCGGCGGGGCCGCGTTGGAGCCGGCGGCGAGGCCGGCTAAGAGCCGGCGGCGGGGCCGCGTCAGGGCCAGCGGCGGGCCGCGATCAGCGGGCGGCGGGGCCGCGTCAGAGCCGGCGGCGGGGCCGCGTCAGAGCCGGCGGCGGGGCCGCGATCAGCGGGCGGCGGGGCCGCGTCAGAGGAGGCGGCGGAGCCGCTGCAGAGGAGGCGGCGGGGCCGCGTCAAGCAGGGGTGGCGGGGCCGCGTCAGAGGGACAGCGGGGCCGCGAGAGTAATGGCGACCCGAAGGGTCGCGAAAAAAAATGCGCGCCTCGGGGCGCGCTTCGGTGGGCCCTAAAAAAAACGGTCCTTAGGAAGGACCCGCTCTATACCATGTGAAAGATAAGAGAACAGGAATGAATGAACTAGCAGTGAAATGAGTACAAGTAGGAAACCCTAGAATTGTGTACCCCCTATAGGCTAACCCACTGTAGCCTACACAAGCATAACATGTATAATGTTTGACAAGGGCACCATCAGTCAAGTTTTTGTACTCATTTCAATACGATGTCAGATCTATTTCTTCGTACGTACCACTGTCCGTCCCTATCATACGTTGTAGCCTCAGCCTGGACTGTCTCCATACCCTTGCAACCATCCGTTCCCCTTGGCAGATCGACGGTTTTGGGCCATCGCGGAGGTCAGTCGTGCACTTAGCGACGTGAAAGCGCATGCTCAACAACTATTTCAATGAGATGTATTCGTTTCGCTGGTAAAGTATCCGTTTTTTTACATGCGATGGTATTCGTTTCGCTGGTGAGGTATGCGTTTTTTTCCACGCGATGATATTCTTGTCGCTGGTAAGATATGCGTTTTCTTCTATGCGATGGTATACGTTTCGCTGGTAAGGTATGCGTTTCCATCTAAATGATGGTATTCGTTCTGCTGTTAAGGAATACGTTGATTTATACGCGATGGAATTCGTTTCGCTAGTGTAGTATACGTTTTTTCGCATTCGTAGTCTCTCAAAACGAATCCATCTTGCATACAACTATCTATTTGTTTAACACATCTAAGAAACCCTGTACATCGACGATTTCTCCCACCCGCTCCCTCTCCTCCCCTCCAAACTCCAACCTCCCATTACACTTGGCAGCCCGTCGACTCGTTTTGTCTATCACTTGCGACTAATGCTGTCGCAATGGCATATCAGGATGACGGTTTTCAGGTCGACGGTTTTCAGGTCGACAGATGTCAGCCTTCTCGCGATGGGCTTGAACGCAAGTATCGCCGCGAAGTATCCAGTTTAGGCCATTGTGTTTGCAGTTCCTATGTTCCGTAATTTTGTCTTTTTTTCTTTCTTTTTGCAACTCCTTACATCCCTATGGCGCAATGTCAGCGGAATGCGTGTGTGTGCATGCTTTGCAGCTCCAACCAGTTTATGCAGTCCTCGTCAATCAGAATCGTACGACACATGTTTTTCACCGTTGAGCATACTCCATCTTTTAACACCAATGGTGAGTGGTGGAATGGCAGACTTGTTATACTTGTTTAACACGACTTTCATTTCTCTGTTTGTGCAGATTATATTCGGTTTCTTATTAGAGGAGTTCATACATCTTCTTAGCTGCGTGTTACGGTAGTAATTTTACTATGGTTGGGTAGATTGTGCGTGCGCAAGCCTTGTGTTGTGCTAAAAAACGCATACCAATAAGAGAGAAGCGCAAATCGAAACTGTCGCTGTTCCACTCGCCAGCCAATAAAATTTCGATATCGCATTCCATAAACTCTTGTCTGATTGGTCCACGTGGCTAGTTTTCGTGCGTCGTTATGAATCGGATCCGACGGTTATCATTAGCGTACAGTGTCAGCCACGTTAGCATGTTTCAGTTTCATCTCGAGTACGTTGTATGCCACGTGGCGTACTCGTGACACTTTTGCAGTGGTTGCTCAGAAGTGACTTTCCGCAACTGATTTACCGCATACCGGGTTAGTTGCGAACTGGTATGCAGTTTGTGACAGTAAGGTGACGGAAAAGTTGCTTCGCAAGTCACTTCAGCACCCACGATTTTGAACCTTGACTTTTTCTTGCGTTTTTCAAGTAACCCTTGAGTTGCGGTTTTGTTACTTTCAAGTTGCTTTTCGCACTTCCCTTTTCCGCGATGTACACGCACCCGCCGAGCGCGACGGACTTGGTGTAACCTGAGGACTTCAGACTCGAAGCCTTGCAGACGAGGGGCTTAACAACGGGGGCAGCCTTGCGGATTCGCGCGAATGCGCAGCTGGCTGTGGCGAGGAGCAGAACCGCGAGCGACGCTGCTAGAAACGAGAACCGCAAGGAGGCCATCATGGAAGCGCGGTGAGATGGATCTGAGAGGCGAGGGCGGGTTGTGGTGGGCGTGAGAGAGGCGAGTTTGGAGGTCGACTCGGGATGGATTGAGAATTTGTGAAAACCTATCTGCCTAAATATATCTCTGTTGGGTATTCTTGTCCCAAGAGTGGCAAGGAACACCTAGCCATTGGCTCAGCGAGGCTTGTTACTTTGGTCCTGGTTCGTTGGTCTTATGGGGCCTGGTTTGGTGAGGCTGGTGAGGAAGGAGGTATGCGGCGGACTTGAAACTAACCGTCGTATCATATCTCCCTTGCCTCTTCCAACCCTACGATGCCTTCAGTTCTTTGGCTCGTCACGTTCAGTCGAAGCTGGCTTGGCTGAGGTTGTTGAATTTCCAATTTCGTTCTGTGGTCATGACATGATGGGCTGGCCAGGGCACACAGCCTCACGGACAACAACGCTCCAAAGCAAAGGCTCGGGGCGGCGCGCGTTTCGCAGGCTGCAGTCAACAAAGGCTTAGCGCGTGAGTGGCTTACGGCGAGTTTCACCGACCAGCCGCGTGTACGCGTTTTCATTGGTCACCGACAAGGCCCTCCGAGCCTTGGTGGCAGTTGCACGATTTTCAACGTTAGGTCCGTTGGCGGAGGGGATTCCTGGATGTTGTCACGAACTGATTGTGTGGTTATCGAATCCAGTCGAGGGGCACTAACATGATCTCCACGCGAAGAATCGTGATCAGTTGTGTGTGAGGGGCCGAGGGCTTATCGGGGAAGCAGCCCACCACACCACCACCACATGCCCACTGTGCTACCAAACCAAAACTACCAAGTGGTTGCGAATGTTCAGGTGGTTATCGGACACTGTTTGGGTGAAGTGGCGGGGACAATGCTGTACGCGGTAAAGGTGATGACGGGAAGTGAGCTACAAGCTATAAGAAGAAACAAATCCTATGTAAACATTCGCTGATACCCGCCTTTCCTAAAGGGTTTATTTTTTTTGTGCTCTGCATGCCTTCCAAGTGTTGGCTGCTGTGCGGCTGCGGATGCGAGGTGAAGCGGCGGTGGTGGCGCACTGTGATTGGCGACGGTGATTTTCCTCCAAGGTTGTAGGCCTGTTTTCTTGGTTCGGCATCGCTACCAAGCGTCCTCGTGCCGTTTTGACCTGTTTCCATTTGCCCTTTCCGTGCTTGTGTGGAAGCTCGTTTGGTCCAAACCAAGTGAACGCCTACCTGGCGATTGATGTTTGGCTGATTCTGCTTGGTGTGGCAAATGATACATTCTCCAGCTAAACGAGCCTTGAAATGCAGGCTCTAGCACGAAGATCTTGGCGAAAAGTTTCTCAGGTTGTTTCCTTTCTCGTTACTGCGTTACCCTTTCATTCTCCACACTCGTCTTCAGACAAGTAGCCACATAACCTTTAGGAGGCTCTCTTTCGTTACTTCGATCACAGCTAGCAGCTAACAGCTAGCAGCTGATCAGTGTTTGTTCAATCCCTGCTTTATCTTTTCCAGGCGCTCCTGCTGCCGCTTTCAACGGTTTGCTAGTTTTATCCAACCCAGCAGCAGTTAGTTACCTTCCCCACTCGCCATTTCTTGCAGCGCACCGAACCCAGTCACACGGTGTGAGCTGGCTCCCGTGTTGCACCTGAGGCCGGCCAGTCGGTTAGCAGCCATGGCAACCGGCACAATCGCCGCCGATCTCGCACACGCACTTCGCTCATCCTCGCAAACGAACCTTTCTCATCAATTACACACTCAAAGCGGCAGCGTCCTCTCGTCCTCTCCCTTTCCGCTCGCGGCTTCTGCGAATCGCATCCCAACCGTAGAATGCCGTGTAGCGGAGCCGCTGTTATCGCGGATGGGAGGCTTTTCCGGATCGAGGCCTGCGAGAATGAGAGAATATCAAACGCGAGGAAGGTTCCCTCGACAGCGTGGAAGCGGAAGCGGAAGCAGAAACCCTCTCCGCGCGTCCCCCGCGTTGGCGCGCGCAGCCGCGGTCATGGGGCGGCTGGCGGAAGCCCCGCCGGCCAACGGCGCAGCAAATGGCACTGCGAATAGGACAAAACGGGGGGGATCGGTGAACGGGCGGCTGTCGTCGGGATACGATTTGATGATGGAAGATCTGGTGGACGGCCAGGTTTGTCATATTCTGGACCGGCCGTCCAAGAAGCAGGTGTGCCTGTTCTACTGTAGCGAGATGGCGGATCTCGCGGCGAGTATCGCGGAGGACGTCGATAATATCGAGCTGAAGCCGATCGAATGGGGGTGAGTGGCGGCGCGGGTGTGAGAGTCTTAAGACTCACGCGCGTTATATTCTAGCTGCGCACGCTACTTGGCTCCTCTCGCCTCCCCTTCCCAACTACTTCCGATTGACTGCCGTTTTCCTTCTCCTTCAATCCCAACCCCACCTTCCCCCCCTCTTTAACCGGCCACACCACCCACCCTCCCTCCCACCCCCGCTCTCCCTCACTCCCCCTCTTTCTTAACTTTCCCTCCCCCATCCCTTCTCAATGCGTTCGGCCTCTCCCTTCGCCCTTATTGATCCCCTTTCTGATGATCATTCGCCATTTTTCATCAAATTCGAGGACGGCTTTCCGAACCTCTCTGTGCCAAACTCCTTTGTCCCTTCCCCCTTCCCCGTTCTCCCTTTCCCCTCCACTTTTCTCCCTTTCGCCTTCCAATCGCTTCCTCTCTTTCCCCCTCCGATCGCTCCCCCTTTTCCCCTTCTAATCGCTTTCCACCTTTCACCCTCCTCCTCCTTTTCCCTTTCCTCCGCAAGGTCGAGATGGTTTTCTGAACCTCATTATGTTGCACGCTTTCCCCCCTTTCCCCCTCCTCCTCCTCCTCCTCCTCCCACCCCATCCTTCTCCCCCCCCTCTCCTCCCACTCCATCCCCCCATTCCCCCCCTCCCACCCCATCCCCCCATCCCCCGCCTCCCACCCCATCCCCCTCCCTCCCCCTCCTCCCACCCCATCCCCCTTTCCCCCCCTCCTCCCACCCCATCCCCCCACACACCCTTTCCCCAGCAAGTTCGAGGACGGCTTTCCGAACCTCTTTGTGCCGAACGCGCATGGAATCAGGGGCCGCCACGTGGCGTTCCTGGCGTCGTTCAGCTCGCCAGCTGTCATCTTCGAGCAGCTGTCCATCATCTACGCCATCCCGCGCATGTTTGTGGAGTCCTTCACTCTGGTTCTGCCGTTCTTCCCCACCGGCACAAGGTGAGAACATTCACTGAATGTTCCCCCTACTAGTATCAGGTGAACATTCCAAGCCATCTTCGAGCAGCTGTCCATCATCTACGCCATCCCGCGCATGTTCGTCGAGTCGTTCACGCTCGTCCTGCCATTCTTCCCCACCGGGACAAGGTGAATATTCAGTGAATCTTCATCGCTAGCGCTAGGTGAACATTCAGTGAGCATTCTTGACTGGAACAAGGTGAAGTTTCAGTGATCAAGCCATCTTCAAGCCGCTGTCCATCATCTATGCCATCCTGCCCGCGGATGTTCGTCGAGTTGTTCACGCACGCTCGTCCTGCTGTTCTTCCCCATCAGCACATTTTAAAAAAATGGTTGTTTCTTAGCAAACATACAGTGGACATTCAGTGAGCATTTTTAGGGTGCGCATTTCAAACTAACCTGGCCATTTTTCAGACACGGTGTGATCTCACGGATACCTTTGAGTCGACTCAAAAGTCACCTCGTTACAATGGCACACGACACACCTCACGGATACCTCTCCTGCTCGTCTTGCTCGTCTCATTTCATTTCCACTGCTCCTCTACCTTCCGTCCCTGCCCTCCCCAACCCCACCCACCCTTGCCATTTGCCTCTCAGCGAGAGAATGGAGGACGAAGGGGACGTGGCGACAGCATTTACTCTCTCCCGCATCCTCTCCAACATCCCCATCTCGCGAGGGGGCCCCACCAGCCTTGTCATCTTCGACATTCACGCGCTGCAGGTACTCTCATCTCAGGCAGTAGCTGAAAAAATTGGGGGGGTAGGGTAGGTACCGGGGTGGGTGTATACCTCACCTCACCTCCACACTCTTGAATTCTCTCGAACATCCTTATCTTGCGAGGGGGCCCCACCAGCCTTGTGATCTTTGACATTCATGCGCTGCAGGTACTCTCAAGCACTGGAGGAAGGGTTTTTGATACATGCACTGGGCTGGGTGGGTGGGCACTGGGCATGGGTGGGTGGGCACTGGGCATGGGTGGGTGGGCACTGGGCATGGGTGGGTGGGCGCTGGGATGGGTGGGCACTGGGCATGGCTGGGTGGGCGCTGGGATGGGTGGGCACTGGGCATGGCTGGGTGGGCGCTGGGATGGGTGGGCACTGGGCATGGGTGGGTGGGCGCTGGGATGGGTGGGCACTGGGCATGGCTGGGTGGGCGCTGGGATGGGTGGGCACTGGGCATGGGTGGGTGGGCGCTGGGATGGGTGGGCACTGGGCATGGCTGGGTGGGCGCTGGGATGGGTGGGCACTGGGCATGGCTGGGTGGGCGCTGGGATGGGTGGGCACTGGGCATGGGTGGGTGGGCGCTGGGATGGGTGGGCACTGGGCATGGCTGGGTGGGCGCTGGGATGGGTGGGCACTGGGCATGGGTGGGTGGGCGCTGGGATGGGTGGGCACTGGGCATGGCTGGGTGGGCGCTGGGATGGGTGGGCACTGGGCATGGGTGGGTGGGCGCTGGGATGGGTGGGCACTGGGCATGGCTGGGTGGGCGCTGGGATGGGTGGGCACTGGGCATGGCTGGGTGGGCGCTGGGATGGGTGGGCACTGGGCATGGGGTCCTTTCTTTCCCTGTCGACAGGTAAGCAACAGCCCACTTACGAGCTTTCTTACCACTTATTCGCCACTCTCTGAAAGCTGTAATCGATGCTCCGGAACAATTTCTCTTTGGAGTCAATCAACGTGCTGCCGTGCTTTGGAAGCGTTGTGTCCTACCTTCCCTTTCCAATACACCCCCCCGGCCCCTTTCTTTCCATCCCACCGTTCTCCTCCCTCCCCCCCCCACGCTCCCTTTACCCATCAGGAGCGGTTTTACTTTGGAGACAACGTGCTGCCGTGCTTTGAAAGCGGCATTCCCGTTCCGTACACCCACTCCCCGGCTCCCTTCTTCCAACCTACCTTACCCTTCATTCCTCCCCCACACCTCTCCACATCAGGAGCGGTTTTACTTTGGAGACAACGTGCTGCCGTGCTTTGAAAGCGGCATCCCTCTGTTGAAGCACCGCCTGCACCAACTGCCAGACTCCGACAATGTGAGTGGTGGGTGAGAAGTAAGTGCGGTGTAGTGCGGTGAAGTCAATGGTTGGTTGCATCCTCTCCTCTGCTGAAGCACCGCCTGCACCAACTGCCAGACTCCGACAATGTGAGTGGTGGGTGAGAAGTAAGTGCGGTGTAGTGCGGTATAGTTGGTTGTTGGTTGCATTCCTCTGCTGCAAGGTTCAAAAATACGGTAAACGTAAATTACGGCTCGTAAATTATGGTCGTAATTTACGGTGGTTTTAGCAAAAATACGGTCGTTTTTTAAATGGACATTTTTTGTGGAATTTTTTTTTCCAGAAATTCCTAGAAAGCTTACAACGATGACAAGGAAGGCGACAACATACTACACTACAGAATGGTGGTTTTTGCCCTGGTTTAACTTGGTGGTGTTGCGTTGGCGAATGGAATATGCAAAAGGGATGAGATGGAAGGGATGAAGATTGGACGAACGCTATTGGTTGGAATGGTTTTGCAGTGTCGAAATTGACTTGAGTAGCGCATGCGGGCGAAAAAAACGAACGGGCCGCGAAACGACCCACCGACTTGGCGAAACGGGTAGACTTGTGTTATCCGTTCGCCAAATGTACAATTTGCCGCGTCGCACAAATTTGTACATTTGCGATTCGGCGAAATACACAAACGAGTGTGCGAATGGGCAACAAACCTGTTAAATGGCAGAACCCGAATTGCTCAACGGAAGTCAACACTGGAAAATAGGTTTGGGAAAGCAGCGAAAATAGGTTCGGAAACCTCCCCTAAACCCTGCTAACCCGAAACCAGCAGGAGTGCTTCACAAACTGGCCCCAGTTTGTGAAGGCTTCTTTGTAATTCGGGGGCTGGGCTTTAAACTGTCACCAAAATGCACAATGTCGCGCCTCGAGATTTTGCTGACACTCGCGACTCGGGAAAAAAAACACTCTCGAGTGGGTTTGGGGCCACAAAAATTCTCACGAACAGGTTGACGGTTGGGAAATGTTGAAATTCGCTATACGCAAACTCGGTTTCAAACTTTCTGTCGTAATTTACGACCGTATTTTTGAACCAACCTAATTTTGCAACGTCAAACCGTTTTTTACCGTAATTTACGACCGTAAATTACGGTCGTATTTTTTAACCTTGCTCTGCTGAATCACCACCTGCACCAACTGCCAGACTCGGATAATGTGAGTGGGGAGGGAGCAGAGGAGGCTGGGCTAAGCAGATGAGTAAGGGTGTGGAGGAGAGATAGGAGGAGGGAGAGGGTGTGGAGGAGAGATAGGAGGAGGGAGAGGGTGTGGAGGAGAGATAGGAGGAGGGAAATGTGTACCAAGTCGCCTACTAGGATAATGTGAGAGCGGGAGTCTGAGGAGAGGGAGAGGTGGGGGGTGAGGTGGGACGGAAAGGGGGATGCATGACAGAGGAAGAGGTTGGCAGGTGGAGCACACACGTGTGTGACAATAAGGGAAGAAAGGACTGGGAGGTTTGAGGGGTGACGGGGAAGGCCTGCTGGGTTGAGACTGGGTGTTGGGATGTTTGTGGCCGAAGCAAGGGGTGAGGCACGGGGATATGATGGGTGGCTAGTGTGGGTACTGGACAGGGACAGAGAGGTTAAGGATGGATGTGATGGGTTGCGGGTGGATTATATGCGGTTAGTTTGGGTTGAAACAGGTGCTGCGGTGTAAAGGTGTTGAATGAGTGGTTGAGGGGAGGATGATGGACAGGAGATGACGGGAGGCTGTGAGGGGTAATGGACATAGACAGGCAAGAGGGGTGATGAGTTGGCAATAGACCGAGACAGGCAAACCTGCTTCTTACATGCCAGACTGCCATGCTCGATATATCATGTATGTCAGTAAATGTCTCATGTGCCCTGTACCCTCATGTTGTGTGCCATGCACCCCATGCCATGCACCCTCATGCCGTGCCATGCACCCCATGCCATGCATGCAGATAACAATCGCATTCCCGGATGAAGGTGCATGGAAGAGGTTCCACAAGCAACTGCAGCACTACCCCATGGTACGTATGTCATGAGCTGTTTTTTTTTTTTCTTCTAATTCTTGAGATAATGTTTAAGAATTCTCAAAATTCAATATATGTTCTCCGTGAGAACATCTCATGAGCTGTTGCATTCATAATTCATGATACGCCATGACCTGTACACCATGAGATGTTCTTTTGAGGCGCTTCAAAAGTCGTCCAAGTCACGATACGTTTGAGAAACCTGTCGGATTGACAGCTAGCATGTTTTCCTCAATCCTGAATCAAACAGCCTTAGTTACCATTCATAAGATGGAATGTTGCCATGAATTCACGTATTATTTTTGCATATTGTGCCAATATAAAGGAGGGTTCGAGATGGTCCGCAGCCATGTATCTTATCGTGTCCTTCTATCTTGCTGCGTGCAGGTGATTAGCACCAAGGCGCACGAGGGGGAGAAGCGCATCGCACAGCTCAAGGATGGTTGTGAGTGCCGCTGCTCACTCAAGCAGTCTCTCTGTGTTGCTCGCTGTCTGTCTTGCACACCCCCTTGCGTTTCCCTCGTCGTACCACCCGCCAGGTGATCTGCACCAAGGTGCGCGAGGGGGAGAAGCGCATTTTTCAGCTCAAGGAAGGTTGTGAGTTCCATGTTGCTTACTCAAGCATTTGTTGTGTGCCTCTCCCTGCCTTTACCGCCAGGTGATCTGCACCAAGGTGCGCAAGGGGGAAAAGCGGATCGTGCAGCTCAAGGAGGGCAACCCCAAAGGGCGGCACGTGGTGATCGTGGATGATCTGGTGCAGTCGGGATCCACTCTCATTGAATGTCAGGTGGGTTAGGGTTAGGGTGGCAGGTAGGGCAGATTGTGAGGTGGGATGGTAACGTGATGGCAGTGTGGCTACCGACACATCGTCTCAAGGACTGCAATCCCAAGGTGTGGCACGTGGTGATTGTGGATGACTTGGTGCAGTCGGGATTGACGCTCATAGAGTGCCAGGTGGGGTGGGATTAGAATGGCAGGTAGGCAGACTGTGAAGTTGGGGGGGAGCTCTAAGTGGCGTCGCACGTGGTGATTGTGGATGACCTAGTGCAGTCGGGATCAACGCTTATTGAATGCCAGGTGTGGTGGGAATAGCGTGGCAAGTAGGCAGACTGTTGCACAAAACTATGGTGGCAGCACGGTGGCAGTGTGTCTATGAACACGCAATCTCAAGGACGGCAATCCCAAGGGGCGGCACGTGGTGATTGTGTGTAGTCAGGGCCGAGGCTTATCAAATGCCAGGTGAGAGGGTGGCAGGTGTCATGCTGGCAGTGCTGCTGCTGACACATCAGGAGCAGGTGTCATGCTGGCAGTGCTGCTGCTGAGCTGACACATCAGGAGGCCAACCCTATCGTGTGGTGATCTGTGGTGACTGAGGGTGGAGGGCAACTTAAGAAGCGGCACGTGCTGATAGCGAATGGTTTGGTACAGTTGGGATTGACGCTTGTTGATTGCCTGCCAGGTGGGGTGGGATGGCAGCATGGCAGCTGTGTGATTGGTGAAAGCATCACCATAACGGGTGGAAACAATTGTCAGTCAGGGGAGACGTTAATGGCTGGCACATGCAATGCAATCTAGAGAGATACGTCCTAACCAACACCCTATTGCCCCTGCTTCCCATGCGTGCACTCCCCCATCTTAAAGAAGCTCTCCCGGCAGCATATGGACCGCGGAAAGATGTTTTTAAAGCATGCCAAAAATCGGCTGGAGCATGATGAGTAGTGATATAAGTTATGGGCAACATCAAACTGCCTTTGCTTCTCAAGTGTGCTCTCTTTTATCTCACAGAGGCTCCTCCTGGCAGCGCATGGAGCACAGGAAGACGACTTGTATGACACCTCGAAGATCGGCTGGCGCGTATCTAAATTAAAAGTTTCTCCTCTTTTCTGGTGTCGTAATGGTGATTTAAGTTATAACCAACATGCCAAAGCCTCTACTTCCCTTGTGTGCACTCCTTCACATTACAGAGGCTCCTGGAAGCACATGGAGCGGCGAAAGTGAGTGCGTATGTGACTCACGGCGTGTTCCCCAACCAGACATGGCGACGATTCAACCACGATGCAAATGGTGAGAAGTATTGTGCTGATGAAGTTATGATGTGCATATGATTGAATTGTGAGGCGCTTACTTATGCGTAAGGCACGGAACCATGTTTGAGGTACATAAAAGCACGTTCTATGGGGCGCATGGGGTGCTTTTTCAACCGGAATGGTGCCAGCTGAACATGATGGGAATGGTGAGGCCATAGAGCTGGCATCACAGCTTAGCGTTGACAGCTTAGCGGTGACAGCTTAGCGGTGACAGCTCAGCGGTGACAGCTTAGCGGTGACAGCTCAGCGGTGACAGCTTAGCGGTGACAGCTCAGCGGTGACAGCTTAGCGGTGACAGCTTAGTGGTGACAGCTTAGCGGTGACAGCTTAGCAGTGACAGCTTAGTGGTGACAGCTTAGTGGTGACAGCTTAGTGGTGACAGCTTAGTGGTGACAGCTTAGTGGTGACAGCTTAGTGGTGACAGCTTAGTGGTGACAGCTTAGCGGTGACAGCTTAGCAGTGACAGCTTAGTGGTGACATTTTAGCGGTGACATGGACTCACTTGTGTGTGCCATCTTCTTTGCTTCCAGGCAATCCATCAGAGGGCTTTGCACACTTCTGGATAACAGACTCCTGCCCTGCTACAGCGAAGGCTGTGGCCGACCGACCACCGTTTGAGATCCTCTCGCTCACACGCTCCATCCAAGCAGCCCTGCAAGTATGACATCAGCTCATGGCATCTGCGTCGTGTGACATGAGCGCGTGACTGACATCTACCCGAGATGACAGAGGTACATTAGGTGACATAAAATGGCTCCAAGAAGAGAATTTCTGCTGTTATAGAAGCACATGTGGAACACATGTCCAGCCAGCAGCATTTATTGATACACTCATGCTCCAACTTCTTCCAAGCTGCTCCTTAAGCATGGCATTGGCTCGACTCTAGTGTCATTATGGTGAAGCAGCACTGAACGAGGCAAAGGGCAGGAAAGGATTTGTGCTGTCATGTACCATGTGTAGCTTGTGACGAACAGGAGTGGATGGCAGCCACACAAGGTGGTGCTAGGGTTTCAGCAGCTCTATGCAGGACCATCATGTCACAGCATGTTGAGAGCATGGTTGGAATCTTGGTACTTGGGTGATCAAATGTTACATAACCTGTGTCGCCCAAGGATCTGGGTTTCTCAAAATATGCAGGCAGGGATAACTTCAAGCAACGCAACACAATGAATCAGACTAGGATGGACACATCCATCACGAAGGATGGCAACAAGGAGACAGCAAACGTGCAGCGAATACAGCCATGGAACCACCACGGTTGGAATGGAAACTAAAAAGGCCATGGACAAGCCCGGAAGAACTACCTGTCTGGCGTCTTTCTAGTGGAACTATACAGCTTAGAGAAGCATGAAGCCCTTGCGCTTGGAAATTTCAAATCACTGTCATGAAGTACGCGAATTGTAGATTTCTGAGCACCCATCGATCGCCTCCGGCATTAATGGCAGTACAACGATATAGGGAGCCTCGAGATTTGTCCGGCGACTAATTGTAGTAGAGCTCTAGTCCCATGCCGTCGTGAATCTCGTAATCGGCGAGCGTGATGTGGTCTTTATAGATGTTGTACCACTTCTGAATCCGAATCTTCTCGGGCCGCGTCCCCGTCTGCGCTGCGACCAGCTTCTTCAGGTCACCAATAGTGTCATCCTCGTTACACTTGACCCTAATCTTCTTCCCTAACCGGTCGTTGAGCACCACTTCAATCATCTCTTCTGACTAGAGAATGAACCAGATGGTACTATCTCCTTCCGTCTAGTCACAGAGGGATAATACTGAGCGTTCTAAGACTGAGCGTACGAAGACCGAGCGTACTAAGAGATTCGTATGTATCTCTAGAGAAGGTCAGCACTACAAGATAGTGAGTGACCGACGGCAAAACCGATGTTTCTGGAAGTGTAGAGCTTGCGTGTAGAGTGAAAGAGAAGTGCAACGAGTTGTGGCTGTTTTGGCGAACGTCGTCACCTGCAAAATGTTTTTTCGGAGCATTCGTCTGTAACTACCTGCTACTGACTTTCATAACTGCGGATATATCGGCTGGATACAAATACGAGTCACCCAAACACACCCCTTTCAGTAGCGCGTACAGCTGCAAAAATTTCGGCTGGATACAAATACGAGTCACCCAAACACACTTCAGTAGCGCGTACAGCTGCATGGCTGGCCAATTTGTCGCTCCCTCTTGAGGCAGCTTTTTACGGAGTTAGAGGTGGTTTCGTTGGTTCTAGACTGGTACATTAGGGATTCCGTACGGTAGGGAGCCCATCGTCAGCCCCTCATTCCTTGAGATTGCCAGCTTACCCTGCATCCTCGATCGCATGATCGCATTATATGGCGTAGCGCCACACTTCTCATCTTCCCCACCCGCCCAACGGTCTTTACGATCGCTAAACCTTCTCTACGTCACGCCCCTAGCTTGTTGTCTTATGCTCCCTTCGCGCCGCGCACTCGCAGTGACATTGGTACAAGCGCTCTCCGAGTCGCTCGTCGTCGCCGTATATCATCCTTTCGTCTTCAAACCGCGGGATCCTCCCCGAGATCCCTCCGAACGTACCTCTCTTTCGTTAGTCTCGTCCTTTCTGCCACGTCAGATTCGCCCCGGTCTCTGACTCGAGATATGTCCATACCTCAACGTCGCGATCCGATCGTCGCACCGTTCGATCAAAGAGACTAGCACCGACACATATCCTGTATTCACTCGTTGTCACCGAATCCAACCGCGATTCACCGTGGCGCACCCCCACCCGCCTCGTCCCCCTCCCACCTTCTTCCGCGCCTTCCCTTCCCCTCCGCCTTCTCCTTCCCCACCCCCCCCTGCTTATTCCCCAGTCTCCGCACCTCCATCATCACTCCCCTTCCTCTCCCCCGCCTCCCCCTCACGCACTTCCGCCATGGGACGACCCACAGACTCCACTCCCTCCGCCTCTTCCCCCTCTCTCGCCCAAACCCCCTTAACCGCATCCGACCGCACCGCATCTCCTTCTGCACCTGAAATCCCTTCCAAGTCGGCTCAAGACTCCCGCGAGCCAGATGCTACATCCGGTTCCTTGGAAGGGCCCGAGGCGGCATTTTCTTCTCTAATTGCCGGTAAGGAGTCTGCCATTGTAGCTGTCAGGATTCCCCAAAAGCAACTCCAATATGCGCTGTAGTCCCTCCAGCCAGATGCTACATCCGGTTCCTAGGAAGGACCCGAGCTGGCATTTGCTTCTCTGATTGCTGGTAAGAGTACATTGTAGTTAACTCAAAAGTCGATCCAATTGCATATAAGGAACTGTTTTTTGAGAATTATAAAAATACAGAGGCGGCCTTAGCTTCCCTGATTGCTGGTAAGTCGGTAGCCATGGTGCTTTTGAGAATTTCCAAAGCGGCCTGCTTCGACGCTGGAGTTCCAAGAGTGGAAACGACTAGATCTGGTTTGATTTACGGACCCGAGGCGGACCTTGCTTCTTATATTGCTGGTAAGGCCTTCGCCATGGTCCTCGCACCACCTATTGCTCGTGTGTATCGTTAAGTCATGTTACCCCTGGTCGTTGCACCTTTATTAAGCCCTGAATCCTCTTCCTTCCTCTCTACAGTGTTGTAACACTCGCATGCAGATTTTTCTTACACGTACTATCCATCCACATCCGTCGCTGCTGCCAGCATTCCTCCACGTCCCCATCCTGCTCATCAACATTGCTTAGGTTATTTCCAAGACAGTTGCAGCTTCATCCTACCATGCTTCCATCCATCCCTCTCGCCCATGGCGTGCCCTTCTCCCACCAGAGGCGGAGAGTCAAGCTACAGGAGGGAGAGGCGGGGGCGGAGGGGGAGAGGCGGAGAGTGATGAGGAGAGGGCGAGGAGGGCCCTGGAGTGTCCGTGTTTGGACAAGCTGAGGGACGGCGCGTGCTGGGAGCAATTTGCAGAGAGCTTCCGGTGTTACTACGTCAGCAAGGAGGAGGATCAGGTGAGAATGGGGGGGAGAGGCAGGGGGAGGTTTTGAGGTGATGGGGATGTGCTGGGGAGGGGCGTGCTTCGAGCAGTTTGCAGAGAGCTTCCGGTGTTATTATGTCAGCAAGGAGGAGGACCAGGTGAGGGGCGTGGGGTGAGGGGGATCATCTAGGTAAGAACGGAGGGGGGCGGGGTGAGACTGAGGGCTGCCGGTGCTGCTACTAAGCTGCTCTGGGGGGCGTGCTGGTAGCAGTTTGCAGAGAGCTTTCGGTGTTACTACGTCAGCAAGGAGGGGGATCAGGTGAGTATGGGGGGGAGCGGTGTGGGTAGGTTTTCAGGTGAGGGGGATGAGCTGAGGAGGGGATTGTCAGTGCTGATACTAAGCCGCCGCTCTGGCGAAAGTGGTTTGGGAGCAGTTTGCAGTGAGCTTCCGGGTGCTACTATGTCAGCTGGAGTGGGATCAGGTGAGAATGGGGGGGAGCAGGTGAGAATGGGGGGGAGCAGGTGAGGAGGGGGGATGGAAAGGGAATAGCGTGGAGCAGGTGGGAGGAGCAGACGAGGATTGCGAGTGCTGCAGATGGGAGAGGTGCAGGGGCGTGCTGGGAGCAGTTTGCAGAGAGCTTCCAGTGCTACTATGTCAGCAAAGAGGAGGATCAGGTCAGGGGGAGGGGAGGAGGAGTGTGAGGTGAGGGTTCGAGCTGTGTCTTGCAACTCTCTGCATTTGATTTGCGCATTCCTACCAACGCCTTGAGGTGATTTTTGAGGCGCCTAAGAAATTTGTGCATTTCTTACAATGCCTCCCACATGCACACGCAACTCCCCACCCCCTCCCTCCCCCTCTTCCCCCCGCTCTTGTCTCTGACTGCGGGGCTGTGTCTCGCAATTATCCAGACTGCAGACCTGCATCTCTGCCAACGTTCTCGCATGCACATCCATGCCCTTCCCATTGGCCCCACTCTCCTCGGCCGTGACTGTCACTGTGAGTGCAGGGCTCAGACAGCGTCTCGCGGTTCTCTGCACTGCAGACCTGCACCTTCGCCAACGTTTTTGCATGCAATACATGCCTTCCCATCCTCTCCCCTCCCCTCCCCTCCCCTCCCCCATGACTGTGACTGCGTCTGCAGGGTTCGGACTGTGTCTCGCAATTCTCCGCGCTGCAGACGTGCATCTCGGCCAACGCCTCTCACTTCCAGCAATACCTGGTGGAGAAGGGGGAGGCTGACCTGCTGAATGCACCTGCAGATGCGGACGGAAAACCCTAGGCTGCAGCACTGGCAAGCAAGCAAGAGCCTCTCTCAGGTTTTATCTGCCCTGCAGACGTGCTTCTCAGCCAACGCGGCTCACTTCCAGCAATACCTCGTGGAGGAGGGGGAGGCTGACCTGTTGAGTGCACCTGCAGAGGCGGACGGAAAATCTTGACTGCAACAGTAAGCAAGCAAGCTATGGCTCCCTCTCTCTGTACTTCTCCGCATTGCAGACCTGCCTGCATCTCCGCCAGCCCCTCACTTCCCAGCAGTACCTCGTGAGCAGGGAGACGTTGGCCTCTTGAATTCATCTGCAGAGGCAGATGGAAAATCATGAGTGCAGCGGTGAGCAAGGAATGCTTTTGGTGTAGTTGAGATGTTTTATATGGGACTGTAAAATAAATGTCTAATAAATTTACAACTTCGACTTTCAATCTCTCGCATGCCTTGGTAAAGGGTATGAAAATGAATCTCGGCGCCAAAGAAGTCCCTCGTGCCAAAGATTGGCGCTCCTGTCCTGACACAATCACGTTAGGGAAAGACATCGCCCGAATCCCTCCGCGAAAACCTGTTCGCCCCTGCGGGTTTTCCTCGGAGGGATTTTCGATTTCCCGCCGTCGCCTAGCGAAGCACGTGAGGGGCGGGAGCCCCCACCCCCCCCCCCCGCCCGCCCGCCCGAAAACGGGCACCCCCAGCTACGCGTGACGCCGGCAGCCCGCGCCCTCGAGCTGGCAGTGGTCCCCCCCCCAACCGAGCCCAACCCCACGCTCCGTTCGTGGACGGGTTCCGTCCGGTAACCCACCCATCCGTCGCCGAGGCGACGCCTCGCCGACGGAACCAGTCCGCGAAATTTCGCCGGCCAGACAGAAGCGACGCCCATCTGCGCCGCGCTCCACCGCTCTCTCCCTCGACGGGCCCATTTCGTTCGCCGCTCGATCTTGGTGACGTGTCGAACGCCCCCTCCCGAACCTTCGAAAGGGCCTTTCAGCTGCATGCAACCAACAACCAACAACCCACCCCATGCAACCAACAACCAGGTTTCACGTCGAGGCCAATAGGGCCCCGCCGGCCTCCGCGAAGAGCTCCTCCTCCCGCGTCTCGGAACGCGCCCTGCCACCTCGCCCTTGCACCCACCTGGTCCGTCGCGGTGGGGGGGATGGCAAACAGCTAATACCCTGAGTGCGTTCTCATTTTGTTGCTATTTCCGATTTTTTCTTCCCTACTTCCTAGTCCCTGCTAGTTCCCAACTCCCTTGCGCGCCTACCCTCTCTCCACTGCTAGGCCTGACATGGCTACGGGCCCCCCTCCCTACCCGTTATGAACGAGCCGACGGTTCGACGCGGCCTCATCCTAAGTGCAGGCAGGGTCGAGGTGGAGGTGTATGAGGGCCAGTTGAATGCGATTAGCGAGGCGCCGAAAGCGGAGCTCGACGAGAGCATGATGATCGCAGGCGTTGTCTACGTGTCCTGTCGAGCATTTTCGGTTTGCCATGTTTCGGTTTACCTGTCGCTGACTTTGCCTTAGCTTTCCGTGCAGCCTGTTCTGTCATGAGCTGCTGTCCGTCGAGCAGCTCCCCAAGGTGTCGATCGTGACTCCGTCGCGTATGCATAAAGAGATGGCCCGTCCCACACCGGTCGCTTTTGCGTACAACCACCTCGACGGCCTCCTCGGCAAGCATGTGGTTTTCGTTCTGCTGCGGACCCCATGAGTTCGACACTCTCCCGTCGCCTTACGTGCCCCGTGTTTAGCCCTTACCCCTTTCTCACGTGCATTGGCTCTGCATGCCGCTTGAGTGTGGCGCCGTTCTCCCACTCGAGGCTGTTTGTGGTATCGCGCCCCGACGATCTGCTGGCTCCGAGGCACCGTGGCAGTCGAACTCGAATGATGCACTTCGATTCGAAAGACAAGTTTCCCGCGGTGAACCACCAATCTTCTCTTGCGCAAGAAGTTTTCGTGTGAGTGACCGCTTTGCCACCCTGCTGTCGACTTGCTTTTCTTGACAATCTTACTCTACTGTCCGTTGCGTCGCAATTAGATGAAGAAGCAGCTTCGCGCCGAATACGCGATGACCCAGCGGGGTCTGACCGAGCACGAGCAAGAAGTGTTGAACGTCATGGACCTTCGTCTGGAGTTGAACAAGAGTTTCGATAAACTGGTAAGCACTCCTCAGACCAACAGTGTTTTCGTCGAGCATGTGTTCTGTCGCTTACGTATGTTTTGTACACGTCGTACACGACGACGGCCTTGTCGAGCCCCTCTGAACCCGGCGCGGCAGCTCGTGTCGTGCATGGGGTGCGCCGGATTCTGTCGAAATGGGACGACTTCATCCTACAGCCTCGAAAGGGTGACCTCGTGAATCTCGGGAGAACGAACCCTGGCCCGGGTATGCTTCTGTTGTTCATGGTCAAGCTGTTTAGGAGAAAGATCGACGAGCTGGCGGAGGGTGTTGGAGTGGGAGGGGGTGCCGACCACGAGGGGGGAGGTGAGGGGATGGCACGCGTTGTGGTTGAGTACAGCGTCGAGGAGGAGGAGGAGATCGAGGAGGATACATCTAGGCAAGCTCAGCACAGGGTGAGCGGCCTGGGCGGCAATGCGAACGAGCACGAGGACTCGAGCTCGGGATCGAGCTCCGGCTCGAGCTCGAGCAATGAGTCGGTCGAGGACGACGGCGAGGGCGCCGGACAGAGCACGGAGCGTACGGGGGAGCACGGAGTGGCGCTCGGGGAGCGGGTGGACGAGCCGGTAAAGCATATCGAGCAGCAGGCGACAGGGGAAGCTAAGGCTGTCGAGGAGCAGGAGGGCGGAGTGGCTGCGCAGGGGGGTGGGGTCGGAGGGCAGCAGCAGGAGGGTGAGGCGGCTGCTAAGGAGGGTGGGGCAGGAGGGCAGCAGCAGGAGGGCGTGGCGGCTGCTCAGGAGGGTGGGGCAGGAGTGCAACAACAAGAGTTTAGGGTGGCAGCTGCGCAGGAGGGTGGGGCGGGAGGGCAGGAGCAGGAGGGCGGAGAGGCTGCTGTGGAGTATCGTCGAGGAGATGAGCAACAGGCCGCAGAAACAAGGGGACACCGCATGGCCAGTGGCAGCAGACAGGCGGGCCCTTCGACCGGGCGACGTTCGACGGCAGGCCAATCGACGTCAACCGTTGCACCCGGAGGCCAGGTCGTCGAGCTACTGCAGAGGGTCGAGAAGGTCGAGGCGTCGCCGAAGCAGCTCGTCGCCGACGTCTTTGCGAAACACAGCGAGCAAGCCGGAGCTTTCAATAGGCTTGCTGCGGATTTTCGGACGGCCTGGAATACGATTTCGGAGTCGTCGAAGAGCACACTGTTGCAGTGCGCCGAGGCTGTGAAGGGTGTCACGGTGGAGAGAAAACTGTTGGAAGGGGTGCGGGCGAAGATCGACGAAATGAGCGGGAAGATCATCGAGGGGGTGCCAGTTGCCATCACAATAGCGAGCGAGGACGCCGTCGAGAAGCAGCTCAAGCAGGTCGAGGAGCGCCTGGTTTTTGCGGTCCTTAAGGGTTTTGAGAAAGCCATCAAGGAGGACATGTTCTACTCCAACCTCCCACCCGAGACCATGAAGGAGCTGAAGGACATTGTGAGGGAAGGCTACCATGAAGCCGAAGCAGGGAGGTTGGAAGTCCTCACCGAAGCGATGGCGAGAGGTTTTCAGCGCTCGGCGGGCCCGTCGACAAGGTCGCGTTAGGAGGGTGTGGGAGGGGTTCGCAACGCGGCTGAGCCTCGAGGTCACGAGCGGTCGGTTCCTCCGTCTTCTTCGGTGGGAGGACATGTCGGTAGCCCAGTTGCATCCCCACCGGCGCGTGGCCGTCATCCCGTCGCCAAGCCCGTCGAGGATAACGAGGTCATCGTACTCGACCAGTCGCCCCTCCCGAAGACCTCCGTAGTGGCTCCGATCGCTCCACCTGATGCGTTTGCTTCGATGCGGGACATGCTGCAAGGCCTGGGGACGACGGGTGGGAAAGGAGTGGTTACGGGGGAGAAAAGTGGTGCCCCGAACGAGCACGTCGCCTCGACCGGGAATAGAGCCCTTGGTAAGCGAGATGCCTCTACCCCGTTAGGCGGCGGTGCGGGGAAAGGAGCGGGAGAGGCAAGCGCTGGGTTGTTGTCGAAGACTAAAGCGACATCAGCTGCGCAGAGCGGTGGTGCTGGCCGAGCTGTCGAGCTTGTGGGAAATTGGGCGTCTTCTTCGACCCCTCCAGTTGCTCCTGTCGCCGCTGCTTCGGCCCTAGGCAACGTTTTCCTTAGCGAACCGGGCTCCCCTTCGACGTCTAAGAGGATGCCGGCTGCGACGAAGTTGTCGAAGCGCGCTGCACATGCGACAGAAAGCCATGACGTGGTGGAGCAGGCCAGCGTCCCTGGTCATGCGCCTGTCGAGAAGAACTCTGTTGTCGTTGCTGCTCGACAGGAGAAGTTGAAGAAGGCCAAGGTGATGGGTTACACCCCACCTCCTCCCCCGGACAACCAAGGCAAGACGAGGGGCTGCATAGCTCCCTTCAAAGGACCGGGTTTAGGGTTGCGGAAGGGGAAGCCGGTTTCCGAGCAGACCGTCGGCGGGAGAAAACGGTTCTTGGGACATTTTGAAACGGAGAAGGATCAGAAGTTCTGTACGGCCATCTGCTGGCGCGTGTACTTCCCCGACATTGTCCTTACGAAGTACGAAGGGTTTACGGCGCAGGATGAGGAGGAGTGGAAGGTGTATCTCGATGCGGCTGTCGAAATGCCAACCGGCGTTTGGAGCGTGGCGCAAGAAGGGGAATGTCGTTTCGACGAGTGAGTTATGTCGAAGTTATGCTGTTTGACTGTTCTGTCGATGTTCTGTTGTTTGAGTGTTTTGGCGATGTATGTCAATTCGGTCGAACGTTTGCCTCTTGGCTAACGCATCGGTTGCGATGTGCAGTTTCCAGTCGCTGTTGGCGACGGTAAATAAGGAAGTGAGAGCCGGAACCGACTGGGGAATCGCGCTGTGCACGTCGATTGGTAAGGTCACGACGCTTGGCATGAAGCACGGGAACCTGATTTATCCAGTCCCGAAGGGCATGGCGGCGACACCGCTCATGATGGCCTTCGCAACAACTGTGGCCAGCTTGTGGGCTGCGTGCAAGAAGTTGTCGAGGAAGGATATTGAGAAGGATGCCCTAGCTGCCGCAAACGCTGCGCTCTACGCCCCGGAGATTGCGACCAAGGCTCGTGTGGCTGCCATGACCGCGCTCGTGTCCATACTTTTGCACGTCGGCAAGACGTGCCCGGCAAAGCAGTGGCCCGATCAGCTGTATTCGTCGACTGTCGCAGGTCTCGGCTCGACAGACGCCATCCTGTTGCAGATGGTGCACGTGGCAGCACAGGTCTGTACGCAATGGTGCTGTTGTCGAGCTGCTGCCCGCTTGCTGGAGGACGCGAGCTATGGCAGCCTGGCAATGCCAGAAGAAAGAGCAAGGCGAAGCAGGGCGACGAGGATGCAGCTGAGACGGAAACGGGCGGGCAAGGGGAGTAGTCTAGGCGGGCACTTTGCGTGGGGGTGTTTGCTATTCTCGACAGTTGTGTTTGTTGTTTCCAAAGTTTAATCGACAAAATGAGCATGTTACGTGGTTCTTGACTTTTCTTTTTCGATAATGCTCAGAAGGTTCATATAGATGAGATGGTCACTCAGCCTTGAAAACCTGCCATGCACTTTCTGAAAGAACAACCTACTCTAGTTCCCCCCTCGTCACGGTTGCCTGTCAAACTTGGGCTCTCGCCCAATGTTTTCATGAACTCTTTCCATTTGTCTTTGAACACGTTCTCGGCCCATTCCGTGGTTCGAAGTTCGACGCGAATGAGCTCCCGCGTGACGTCGACGGGGGTGGCGTCGAGATGGATTCTAATTCGACAAGTATCCGTCCTACGTCCGCCTGCCGGGAAGGCGCTGTCCTCGACGGATCATTATCCATCACATCCCACAGAAAGCTACCATTTCTCCCAAAATCCTGGCCTTTAAGGAAAATCTGTGGTGCTTCTACCCTAGATTTAGGTTTATACCGGGTTTGGGCTGATGTTGCTCCGCGTGGAGATGGCATTTGACGTGGCCGTCAGCAGTTGACGTGACCGTTTGATTGCGACAGACGTAACCCGTCGCCCATCTGACAGCGACAGTTCGCTCGACCGACGAGGCGACAGGTCGGCCGCAGTTGACGTCTCCGTCGATTGCGACCGTCGGTCGGTTGCGAAACACGTTTCGCAACCGTCGACCGTCAGCGCTACCGTGTAGGCGATTCCCTGGCGACTTGCCACCGGTGTAACCAGTGTTGATGGGGGTGCACGGAGCTCGACGACGATTGGCCAATGTCCGTCATGCAGTGCTCGATAAATGTCCCTCAATTTCCACTGTTACGGCTGACATATATATTGTCATAAGAATACGACATTGAACCCGCGGGTTTCGGAGGGTTTTTTGGCCTGGTCAGCCGGGAATTTCTGGGGGCCCGGAGGGATTCCGCGGGTTTTTCGTTTTGCCTCAATTCCCTTTGTGCTAGGGCGGGCGGGGCGGCATGTGATGACGTCACCCGTGTGTATATAATTGGTTATGTCTGAGAAACTGGTGGTGGTCTGACCTTGGGCCACCTAAAGAACTTAGAAATAAAGAGAACTAGATAGCAAAATCATTTAGTTATAATATGAGGCTCCATACAACAAAAATAGGTATATAACATTATAAACGATAGATGGTGTACCAAGGTTGGCCCTCGTTTGAATGTCATCAACCTTGGACCGCTACTAAATCCTCGTCCACCATCTCTGGAAAGAGGTCATCCCACCAATTTCTATACACTTTACCTTGCGACTCCTTGTCTTCATTACAAGTACACATTTGAAGAATTGTGGGAGCATCCAATGGTGAAGATCCACCCAGCGGGCCATTCAATAATGAGGGCCCATCCAGCTTCTCTCCCACTTGCTTGCTCGTCTCATGCTCCTCATCATCCAGCCCACAGATGTCAATGTCAACCAAATCAAGCGAGCCAGCTTTCTCCGAGCTCCCAGGGGAATCCCTTTGCTGCTGCGGACGCCCTCTTGCTTGCAGCTCCTGAGTCAGGCGTTGCATGGATGGCATGTGAAGCAGTTGCACCCGTGTCCCTTGCCGAGAAGAGCGCTGCACCAAGGGTGCAGGAGCAGGAACCATACTATGGGAAGCCTGAAGGCCACCCCCAGGTGCAGGAGCCTCATGTGCCATGGCCAAAGTGTTGTTCTCTATAAGCTCAGAAACCGGTACCACCCCATGGGTCGCCTCATCATACACCATGGGGCTAGGAACAGCTGGTACCATCCCCTCAACCACCTCATCATGCACCATGGGCCTGGGAGGAGCACAGCTGCGGTAGCTGCAAACAGAGAGGGTTCTCAGTAGAGGGCCGCTCAGCACCCCAGGGGTGTTGGGCCGCGGGGAGGAGCTTGCAAAGCAGCTTCCGATGGACTCGTCTGAAGAGACAGGCTGGGTGGCAGCGGGGGCTAGTTCTGAAGATGCCAGGTTTAATGGGGGGTGTGAATGATATGATGGGTAGGAAAGGTGTGGTGGGTATGGTGGGTAAGAGGGGTATGGTGGGCATACTGGGTATGATGAGTAAGATTGGTGTGGTGGGTAAGGTGGATACGGTGGGTAGGGCTGATATGGCACAGCAGCAGCAGGATCAGCCGCAGGAGGAGAGGCAGCAGCAGCAGCAGCAGCAGCAGAAGGAGCAACAGAAGGAGAACAAGCAGGACCTTGAGTAGCAGGAGCAGGAGCGGGAGCGGGAGCGGGAGCAGGAGCAGGAGCGGGAGCAGGAGTGGGAGCAGGAGTGGGAGCAGGAGCGGGAGCAGGAGTACGAGCAGGAGCAGGAGCAAGTGGAGGTGCAGGCGCAGCAGCAGAAGCACTAGCAGGAACAAGAGCAGGCGCAGAAGCAGGAGCAGAAGCAGGAGCAGCGGTAGTAGCAGCAGCAGGAGCAGCAGGAGGAGGAGGAGCAGCAGGAGAAGCAGTAGCATGGGCACCATGGACAAGGGAATGAGCATGGGGCTCTCTGGTTTCTAGGGCTGCGTGCTGGATCGAGTGGGAGGTCGATGTGCTGTCATGCGAGGTGTGGGTGACAATGGGCCGCCCTTCTTCCCCCGTGCGCCTCTTTGCCTGAGATGATGTTAACATGTACCAGCTGCAGAGGGGGGGGGGGGAGAAAGCGTAGGAGGAAAGGGGAAAAGGAGGGACGAGAATGGAGGGGAGAGGGGAGAGGGGAGAGGGGAGAGGGGAGAGGGGAGAGGGGATAGGGGGGAGTGGAGAGGAGAGGGAGTAGGGAATGAGGGAAGAAGGGAGAGGGGAGAGAGGGGAGTCGAGAGGGGAGGGGAGATGGGAAAGGTAAATGAGGGGAGAGGAGTGAGGGGAGATAGGGGAGTGGAGAGGGGAAGGGGGAGGGGGATGAGGGGAGAAGAGAAGGGGTGAAAATAGAGGGGAGATGGGTGAGTGAAGAGGGGAGAGGGGAGAAAGGAGAAGGGGAAGGGGACAGGGGGGAAGGAATAGGGGAGAGATGATATCGGAGAGTTGGGGAGTGGAAACGGGGAGAGAAGAGAGGGGACAGGAAAGACGACAGTGGGGGAGAGCGGTTGGGGGAGAGGTGAGAGGGGAGAGGGGAGAGGGAGAGGGGAGAGGGGAAAGGGGAGAGGGGAGAAGGGAAGAGGGGAGCGGTAAAAGGAGCACTGGGAGCGAGAAGAGGGTTGTGCTCACCTGAGGGCCTTGTGCTCACCTGAGGGCCTTGTGCTCACCTGAGGGCCTTGTGCTCACCTGAGGGCCTTGTGCTCGGCGTCGTGCAATTGTCGCTTCCGTGTCTGCTGCGTCAACTCCTGTGGCGGCTGCATTGCTTCCTCCAACAGCTGCCACTGCTGCGCTATCACCGCCCTCACCTCCTCCTGCTGCTGATCGTGATGCTCCCCCTCCTTCTCTTGATGCCACTGCTGGGTTAGTGCCTGCGTTGTCTCCTTATTTTCTTCCTCCTCCTCACCCCCTTTCTGCGGATGATTATGTTTCGTCTCCCTTCGTTGCTGTTCCTCCTCATCCTGCTTCTCCTGACGTTCTTGATTCTGATTATGCTCCTGCTCCTGCTCTTGCTTCTGCTCCTGCTCCTGCAGCACCTGTTGCTGCTGCTGCAGGTGTGCAGTGGAGGGTTGCGTAGGAGAGAGGGTAAGCGGAGCAGGGCAGGAGAGCGCTGCAGGGTCTGCGGCATCAAGGCGGAACTCAGAGGGACGGGCGGAAGAGTAGTAGCTCTGGTGACTGTCCCCCGTGAGACCAGAGACTGAAGCAGCCCTGGAGTGCGGAGAGATTAAGTGCTGCTGCTGCTCGTTCAGGGTCGTGGGTTGGGTGGCAGCCGAAGGGGAAGGGCTGGTGCTTTCGGGTGGAGTGACGAGGGGAGTTTGGGCAGGCGTGGGGGGAGATGCAGGCATCATCACGGGGGAAACTGCGAGCGAGATGGGAGAGGCCGTCATGAGAGAAGAGGCCGGCATGAGAGAAGCGGCAGCAGCAGGTGCAGCGATGGAGGAAACGGGAAGAAGTTGTGTCGGCAGTGGCAGGAGCGGCGGTGAACTTGTCGCCGGAAACGGCTGCGGTGCGAAGGGCGCCTGGCCTCGAAGAAACTTTCTGCGGAGGGTTCACAGTGGTAGAGAGCGAAGACAGAGGAGTGCGAAGCGGTTGAGTACGGTGAAGTGGGGTGAGTACTGTGAGTACCAGGGTGAATTCTGTGCAATAAGGTGGGTAGAATGGACAGGGATGATAATGAAGAGCAAAGACGCAGGGTTTAGTTCAGCAGAAGGTATTTACGTCTCTTCTGGCTTCCTGCGCACTTTTTCAGGAGCAGTAAGCAGTTGAAGCAGGCCTTCGACTTTTGAGGCGCCTCAAAAAGCACTTTTTCGGGAGCAAAAAGCAGTTGAACCAGCCTTCGCGTTGCGGTGAGACGATTTTTGAGGCCCCTCAAAATTCGTCTCACAAATTGCTTACTACTAGTAGCTTCGGGCGCACCTTTTGAGCAGCAGGAAGCGGTTGCAGCAGGCCTTGGCGTCACGATGAGGGGCCAAACGCCTGCTTCGGTGTAAGTCATGCCACTTGGAGCTTCCATGTGCCATGACGTGGTTGAGCAGTATCGTATCCTCCTGTAACGGGGATTTCAAGAGTGGAAGAAGTCGCATTGAGAAAAAATTAGGCCTTCATTCAAGCTCAAAAGGCTAGTACATCTGGCCATTCAGACTTGCACTGGCCAAGCTTTGTAACCTAGCTCTGTTTAAAAGCAAGCTGAAAAAGCAGGCTGTCAAAAAACAAGCTCTGTTAGAAATCACCTGCCAAAAGCAGACATAATATATCGAAAAAAGAAACAGAATTTGTCATAAGCTTCATCAAAACAAAGCTCGTCCAAACCAAGCACAAAACTCTGTCAATAACCAATCTCTGTCCAACACTTTATTTCTGTGAATAACCAAGCACTAACAAAATTTAAAAAACTGTCTAACCAACCTCTGAAGGAACCCAGTTCTATGATCACAAGCCCAAGCAGAATTCAATTGTGTGTGATCAGTGGATGATTTTTAGTACCTCAAAAGTCCATCGTGCAGCATAATGCCGCTGCGTGACATGCGGAGATCTGGCCGTCATCATGGCTGTAATATCTCGGCCTGATGAATTCCGAGTGCGGATGGAGAATCCTTTGCTGATGCCTTGGTAGTAGTAGGCTCCTGAAATTTTCCTAAGCTAAGTAAAAACCAGATATTTTGGTCCAGCTATGGAGTCTGAATGATCCTGTTCACTCTCCCAGGCACACAAGTAGCACTACTAACTTCGTAGGGGCGAGCCCTTGCCTTCTCAGAAGCGAAAGCAATGTAGGTTAAGATGACCAGAAGTACTGCCACTGTTCCAGCGGAAGATGGATCGTGGAAGTACCAGTACACATGACACAAAGCTTGTTTGGAAAAATAGCCTCTGAGAAAGACAGGGTTTTGCTCCGGCGGCAGAATGAGGATCACCACCACTGGCGACTGATTTCTGCGGCGGGGTGAGGAGGAAATGTGCAAGGCCAGGCGGTGGAAAGCAGGGCGGTTCATCCACGTGGCTGATTCTGATTCCGCCTCTGCCCTTTGGCATTGCTGAAAGGCCCATCACCTGAACAGCGGCGCCAGCTCGGCTGGTACTAATGGACAAGGCGACGTCGCAATTGCTGATACATAGCAGTTACTAGTAGCTGAGCACTGGAACCAATGAGGATCTAGAAAGTTCCCATCGTGAGAGATATTTTGTGGACAATGCATGCCATGCCGCGGCACTGCACGGCTGGGCCCTGGCAGCAAGCGGTGGTTTGCGTGGCAGGTGAATTCCTCTTCTTGAAGAACTTCTGCCTGCCCACTCGACGTTTGCGGGTTTGAATTTGAAACTTCGAATTGTGTTTTGGGGAAGAGGAGATGCACACTGTACGAGGGCGTTTCCGGTCCGGATAATGTGCACGGCTTGGAGCAACATGATCCAGGCATGCTTGATGCATCAGCTGTATTACGTTTCAAGCGCTGTGTCCCGCTTGTGCTACTTCCACCACACACATGCCGCAGCAGCGAAACGCATGGGGACCCTGCCAAGCAACAAACAGATCCCAATTTCCCGCACTCAATTTTGAGGTACACCGTGTCTCTGTTGCCCCTGACGTTTCGTTCCCTGGTTTTCCAGCATTTCTACCCGAAAATGTTTCATTACGTGTATTGCACCCCCCCAGAGAAATTTCATGCGTCTAGTGGAGGTTCGTTTCAGACAAAATTACCACCTTGTCGCTGAGCAAAGAGCTGAGCAGCAACGGGTTGTACAGTCCACAATGTCGGTGATGGGATAACAAATCTACTCTCTTTGGATTGCGGGGTACAGTACGTACACCTGAAATCGATCAGCTGTCACCAAGCCAGACAAATCCCATCACGAGTCGCGTAAAATGGCATATGCGAATAAATTTCACAAAAGGCATCTCTTGTTAGCATCGAGTCGCACGCCAGCTATGCGCCGCACAAGCTTGAGTGGAACGCGTCGAACGGTCGGATCGTCCACATCATAAAAAAAGTGCCCGATCGTCGTAGAATGACGCCAGCATTAGCAATGATAGACCCATGTGGCATTTCGGTACACGCTGCATCGCTCGCAAACGAAATGTGTGTAGTACCCCCAACATCAGACGCGGTACAACGAAAATCATTTGTGGTGTTTCTCCCCCGACTCTAATAACATACACGCGTGCCAAAACGGCTGTGGTGAAAAAAACCTCGGAGTCAAATGAAAAATTCTCCACCACATACCGCAGGCATTTGTAGCTGAACAAACGATTACCTACCCATAATTCTAGGCCAGGTGTGTGACATACCAAAAAGTGAGAAGAATATAGTCATACTTCAACTACTGGTGTCAAGAGTAGTCTTGTTCCATGTCTGGAGCGGCAGCACGCTATAGCTGTCATGCTGATGAGCATACGGTATGGTACGGTACTCGGCATGATGGTTTCCGATATGCGTTACTTATTTTAACAAGAACACAAGAGAGGAAGATAATGTAAGGCCTAAGAATAGACCACCGACTGTAGACAGAAAGCAGAGGTACCGGCGTTTCTAGGTATCAAAACGGCCTTTTCAGATATTCAAGAGGTAACAGCCAAGTATCAAAGGAAGATACAGGCCTTTATAAGGTATCAAAGCGACTTTAGACTTAAGAGGGGGCGCCAAGGAAGGCAGCAAGGCGCAGAAGGTCACTGAACACACCCCCTGCAGTGACCTCGGCGCCGGCACCAGGGCCGCGCACAATGAGGGGCTGCACGTTGTATCGGTAGGTGACGAAAGAGATGATGTTGTCTGAACCCACTAGCTGCGTGAAGGCGTGTGTGCGCGGGTACTGGCGCAGCTCCACGCGGCCTTCTCTCTTGTCCATGTCCACCACGCCTACATAGCGCAGGACCTGGAGGTAGGGGGATGATAGGGCGAGAGGAAGAAAGGGAAAATAGGTAGAGCAGATGAATGCCATGGGGTACTGTCACGGTACCATGCGTCCCTCCCTCTTGTCCACCACGCCCATGTAGCGCAGGATTTGGTAGGAGATGAGAGGGAGGGAGGTCGCATTGAAGATAAGGGGAGAGCGAGAGTAGGGAGTGAGGAGAGGGATTGATAGAGAAGAGTTGGAGAAGGAGATGATGCTGTTGGAGGAAACTAGCTGCCCCGGCACCCAAGGAGCATTTGCAATGAGCAGGACCAGCATGACAGCACACGGTCGTCACACCCACACTCACCTCGCCCATCTCCTCAGCCGCCTTTCTCTTGGCCTCCATCTCATCGTCGAATTCAGGCAGCCGCTGCATGAACTCGTCCACACTGCCCACGTGCTGCCAGACAGGCGGGGAGGGAGAGAAGGGGGCACGGAGAGAGGAGGTGAGTATAATGCTTTAGAAGTTACATCCCGACTTCACTGCCTTTCTCTTATTCCCAGATATAGATACGTATGATTTGAACTCGGCCACGCTTAGGGTGCGGTGCATTTTGTAGAAATGGTGCTCAAACGGCCACTGTACTGCAGCGCATCATATCTTCTTGAGACAAAGCCGCACCGTCTTCAGCCTTTGAAAAACTACCGCTCTAAAGGCGTCTTACAGAGAAATGTTCCACAGCCTTAGTACCACGACCACACCATCATTACCAAACCTGTATAGCCTCGTTGCATCACCTGGATAGCCTCATTAACTTAACTAGATAGCCTCGCTATTATTTCTGGAGAGCCTGGTTACCATACTTGGAAAGCCTTGTTACCATGCCTGAAAAGCCTTGTTACCATGCCTGAAAAGCCTTGTTACCATGCCTGAAAAGCCTTGTTACCATGCCTGAAAAGCCTTGTTACCATGCCTGAAAAGCCTTGTTACCATGCCTGAAAAGCCTTGTTACCATGCCTGAAAAGCCTTGTTACCATGCCTGAAAAGCCTTGGTACTGTACCTGGAGAGCCTCGGGCACAAGGCTTTGGATGGGCACTTGGTCCAGCTCGAGGCGAAGGCCACACTCCCGAGCCAAGATGACCACCTGAGAGTGGGGAGAGGACAGGAATAAGAGGGGAGGCGGAGAGAGATGAGAGAGATGGGCCAGGGATAGATAAGTGAGATGGGCGGGGGGGAGAGAGATAAGTGAATGCGCGGGGGGGAGAGAGATAAGTGAATGCGCGGGGGGGAGAGAGATAAGTGAATGCGCGGGGGGGAGAGAGATAAGTGAATGCGCGGGGGGGAGAGAGATAAGTGAGATGCGCGGGGGGGAGAGAGATAAGTGAGATGCGCAGGGGGGAGAGAGATAAGTGAGATGCGCGGGGGGGAGAGAGATAAGTGAGATGCGCGGGGGGGAGAGAAGGCAGTGAATAACAAAAATCCTGCTTTCTCAAACGACCTCCAAATGCCCATTCCATGAGATTTGTTCCACATCATCCCTAAGGTCACTCTCAGTGAACCCACCCTCTCAATGTTCCACCGTCCTCAACTTCTCAGTGATCCTCTTTTGACCTTCTCTTTCACGCCCCCTCGTTCTCACCTTCCTGGCCACATCCATGCCCTCCAGGTCGTCCCTGGGATCGGGCTCCGTGAACCCGTTGGCGCGTGCCTCTGCCACGGCCAATGCACCTACCAGACGCCCCTCACCTTCTACACCTCCTCTCCCAGCGCGCTCCTCTCACCTTCCAACGCTGCTCTCACCTTCCTCGCCACATCCATGCCCTCCAGGTCGTCCCTGGGATCAGGCTCCGTGAACCCGTTGGCGCGAGCCTCTGCCACGATCTGCGAGAATGGCTTGCTACCGTCGAAGCTGTTGAAGATGTAACTCAGCGTGCCACTGGTGGGGGGAAGCGGGGGAAAGGAAATGGATTGTGCTGTCAGAGAACAGTGGCAGCAATAACACTGTTCAGGCAGGGCAAGAATTGGTTTTGGTCCTGAAGATGCCTTGGATGCGGTGGATGTGGTCACCCGTGTCCAGCAGCCCCTTGCGTGTCGCCATTATGGGCAAACCTTGGAAGTGGCACAAAACCATACTGCAGCATGTATCCGTGCATGGACCAACGCACATGCCTCACCTGAAGATGCCTTCGATGCGGTGGATGTGGTCACCCGTGTTCAGCAGCCGCTTTGAGCATCGCCATTATGGGCAGCTCTTGAAAGCCCGGCCCTACAACACACTGCTACGTGCACGCAAGCGCACCACTAGCACCCACCCCACCCGTATCCCTCTGCACACCTGAAGATGCCTTCGATGCGGTGGATGTGGTCACCCGTGTCCAGAAGTCCCTTGAGCGTCGCCACGATGGGCAGCCCGGCCCCCACGGTGGCCTCATACAGGTAGTGCGTGCAGAGCTCGCGCTGCAACTGACGGATCTTCAAGTACTGGAGATGGCAAGGAAAGGGAAGGGCCGGGGGGAATGGATGAAGGAAGGACAAGGAAACGAGGAGAGAAGTGAGCATTGGTTGTCAATCCGGCTCCCACGGTGGCCTCATACAGGTAGTGCGTGCACAGCTAGCGCTGCAACTGACGAATCTTGAGGTACTGTGGTGGTGGAAGGAGGAGAGGACGGGAGGAGGGGAGAAGGGGAGGCATGGTGTCAGCCCGGCTCCCACGGTGGACTCGTACAGGTTGTGCATGCACAGCTTGCGCTACAGCTGGCGGATCTTGAGGTACTGAGGAGAGGAGATAGGTAGGAGCGGAGATAGGCAGGAGAGAAGGGGAAGCGAAGGGTCAGGAGTAGTAGAGAGGAGTGAGCAGTGGTGGCAGCCCGGCACCCACGGTGGACTCGTACAGGAAGTGCGTGCACAGCTCGCGCTGCAGCTGGCGGACCTTGAGGTACTGGGGAAAGGAGGAGATGCGGAGAGGGGCGGGGGGTAAGGAAGGGAAGGAACTGGGTGCGGAGGAAGGAACAGCTCTGTGAGGGAGGGAGACGTATTCCTAGCTGGCCTTCTTGCTGGGCCTCTACTGCTGCCACAAAACTCTAGCGGATCAACCTCAAAAGTCGTCTCCAATGGTGCAACATCACTCAAGCCTACCAACCTCTCGCCTTGCAGGTGGTTCAGAATTTTCAACCACAGTCTGCACTACCAAAGCTGGATATCACACCACATCTCAAGCCGTACCTCTTTGAGGGGTCCGGAGTTGGCCTTCTTGATGGGCGTGACGACATGAAGCCCCTCGGCAAGCCACGTGGGGTATTCATCCGCCACCTCGCTGCTGGCAGTGCAGTCCACCACCACCGTGTAGGGCAGCCCTTGGGAGCTCTACCCCCTAGCCCTTTCAGGTCTGGAGCATTGGCACTGGCCGTACCTCTTTGAGAGGCCCCAAGTTGGCCTTCTTGTTGGGAGTGACGACATGAAGCCCCTCAGCGAGCCACGTGGGGTATTTATCCGCCACCTCGCTGCTGGCAGTGCAGTCCACCACCACCGTGTAGGGCAGCCCTTGGGAGCTCTACCCCCTAGCCCTTTCAGGTCTGGAGCATTGGCACTGGCCGTACCTCTTTGAGAGGCCCCAAGTTGGCCTTCTTGTTGGGAGTGACGACATGAAGCCCCTCAGCGAGCCACGTGGGGTATTTATCCGCCACCTCGCTGCTGGCAGTGCAGTCCACCACCACCGTGTAGGGCAGCCCTTGGGAGCTCTACCCCCTAGCCCTTTCAGGTCTGGAGCATTGGCACTGGCCGTACCTCTTTGAGAGGCCCCGAGTTGGCCTTCTTGTTGGGAGTGACGACATGAAGCCCCTCAGCGAGCCACGTGGGGTATTTATCCGCCACCTCGCTGCTGGCAGTGCAGTCCACCACCACCGTGTTGGGCAGCCCGTGGTGCCCGTCCATCAGAGAGCCTTCAAATGCCACCATGTCTGCTGCCTCGCCTCTGGTCTCCAATTCCTCCCGCCAGTTGCTCAGGTGTACACCCCTGGGAGGTAATCACAGGGAGTGGGAGTGCGGAGGGGGGGCAGAGGAGTACATGAGGGCAGCCCATGGTGCCCGTCCATCAGCGACGCCTCGAATGCCACCATGTCTGCTGCCTCGCCCCTCGTTTCCAGTTCTTCACGCCAGTTGCTCAGGTGCACGCCCCTTGGGGGGAAGCGTGGTGTGGAGAAGGAGGAGAGGGGAGGGATGGGCGGGGGATGGGAGGGGGATGGTAGGGGGATGGGAGGGGGAACAAGCAGGTTGAGGTGAATGGTGCTAGCAGGGTAGTGCAGCCCATCACCGCTCTGTAACCCCATGCACCGTGCCCGCCCATACTCTCTCATAAACTGCATTCCTATTACCTCACACCCCCACGCATGATGAGACGATTTTGAGTCGACTGAAAAAACATTCCTGTTATCCCACGCCCCCACAGCACCCACCTGTTGTCAATGAGAATCTTACTCGCCCCAAAGATGCCCACCAAACCACACGCATGTTAAAATTGAACTCTTCTCAACCCGCCCCCTGCTCCCTGATTTGAAACGCGTCCTCCACACCCAGAGAAATCCCCATCGCCTTCAACTGTTATCGATGAGCATCTTATTCGAGCCAATGATGCCCACCACGCGCATGCCAACGCTAAACCCCTTCTTCAGACTCGTCTTCTGGTCCCTGAATTTAACTGCATCCTCAGCCTACCACGAAGCCCAACCCCCCTCCCCACGCTCACTTGTTGCCAATGAGCATGAGATTGGCCCCGATGATGCCCACCACGCGCATGTCAATGTTGAAACTCCTTCAGCCTCGCCCTCTGGTCGCTGATTTGATCCACCCTTGACACACCCAGAGCAGCACACTGACCCGCACCCCTCACCTGTTATCAATGAGCATCCTATTCGCCCCAATGATCCCCACCACGCGCATATCAATATTGAACTCCTTCTTCACACTCGCCCTCTGGTCCCGTAACTCAACCACCCTCCGGCTTCAGCCCAAGCACCCACAGTACCGCCCTCACCTGTTATCGATCAGCATCCGGTTCGCCCCGATGATGCCCACCACACGCATATCAATATTGAACTCCTTCTTCAGGCTCGCCCGCTGGTCCCTGATCTGATCCAGCAGCGTGCTCCCAATCAGCCCCGGGCCAATCAGCGCCACCGCCAGCGGAATCTGCGAGTGGTAGAACCGCCCGTGCGCCGCCCGCAGCGCCGCCACCGCATCACTCCGATCGACCACGACAGTGATATTATACTCGGAGCACCCCTGCGCGATCGCACGCACGTTCACCCGCGCCTTGGCCAGCGCCGCGAAGAGAGCAGCCGAGACCCCCGGAGTGCTGGCCATGCGCTGCCCGACGGCTGCGAGGACTGTGCAGTGCGGGATGACTTCGATATCGTGCACGCGATTTGATTCGATTGCGCGGCGGAAGGTGGTGCGCAGCGCGGCGGCCACCATGTCGGCCTCGGGTTCTGGGACGGCGAAGCAGACGGAGTGCTCGGAGGAGGCCTGCGAGATGGCGATGACGTTGGCCCCCACGTTCTTGACTGAGTTGAAGATCTGACTCGCGATACCCGGGACTCCTGCCATGCCCGTGCTGGGTGGGGCGAGAAAGGGGGGGGTAGAGGAGGGGGAGAGAGGAGGGGAAGGGAGAAGAGTGAAGGGAAAGGGGAGAAGGGGAAGGCAGCAAGGAGAGAAGAAGATTTGTTAGTAAGGCTGCCAGATGGTGTGGTTGGGAAGCACTCAGAGTGCTCCGAGGGGGCCTACGAGATGACGATGACCTTGGCCCCCACGTTCTTGACTGAGTTGTGAGCCGCTCGTGCTCCTCGTCCGAGAAGGCGTCGTGGGAGCGGCCGGACACACTGGCACCCTGGCACCCTGGCACCCTGGCACCCTGGCACCCTGGCACCCTGGCACCCTGGCACCCTGGCACCCTGGCACCCTGGCACCCTGGCACCCTGGCACCCTGGCACCCTGGCACCCTGGCACCCTGGCACCCTGGCACCCTGGCACCCTGGCACCCTGGCACCCTGGCACCCTGGCACCCTGGCACCCTGGCACCCTGGCACCCTGGCACCCTGGCACCCTGGCACCCTGGCACCCTGGCACCCTGGCACCCTGGCACCCTGGCACCCTGGCACCCTGGCACCCTGGCACCCTGGCACCCTGGCACCCTGGCACCCTGGCACCCTGGCACCCTGGCACCCTGGCACCCTGGCACCCTGGCACCCTGGCACCCTGGCACCCTGGCACCCTGGCACCCTGGCACCCTGGCACCCTGGCACCCTGGCACCCTGGCACCCTGGCACCCTGGCACCCTGGCACCCTGGCACCCTGGCACCCTGGCACCCTGGCACCCTGGCACCCTGGCACCCTGGCACCCTGGCACCCTGGCACCCTGGCACCCTGGCACCCTGGCACCCTGGCACCCTGGCACCCTGGCACCCTGGCACCCTGGCACCCTGGCACCCTGGCACCCTGGCACCCTGGCACCCTGGCACCCTGGCACCCTGGCACCCTGGCACCCTGGCACCCTGGCACCCTGGCACCCTGGCACCCTGGCACCCTGGCACCCTGGCACCCTGGCACCCTGGCACCCTGGCACCCTGGCACCCTGGCACCCTGGCACCCTGGCACCCTGGCACCCTGGCACCCTGGCACCCTGGCACCCTGGCACCCTGGCACCCTGGCACCCTGGCACCCTGGCACCCTGGCACCCTGGCACCCTGGCACCCTGGCACAATATGAGGCCTGAACCAAACCCAACTACTCACCCAGCCACGTTGACGAGCGCCACGTTCTCAATGGTAGCGAAGCCCTTGACGACTGCGTCAAGCGGATCTGTCCCCTCCTCCAGCAGCTCGTTGTGCGCCGCCTCGTGCTCCTCGTCCGAGAAGGCGTCATGGGAGCGGCCGATGCGCGTGCCGGGCGCCGTGGGGTTGAAGGCGTTGCGGATGAACATGGGGATGGCGTACTTCATCACCGGCAGGGTGGTGCGCGGGTGGAGGACGTTGGCTCCAAAATAAGACTGCAAACATAGGGGGAGAGGCAGGAAACAGGGTGGAATGCATTGCGGATGAACATGAGGATGGCGTACTTCATCACTGGGAGGGAGGTGCGCGGATGCAGCACGTTGGCTCCGAAGTAGGACTGTTGAGAGGGTGATTTGCAGGAGGGGAAAGGGAGGGCGGAAGTGGATGCTATGTAGTGTTGCTTGATACTACTAGGCTAGGTTATGTGATGGAATGCTGTATCACGCTGTGGTGTGGATCGTAGTGCCTCAGCATGCTATAACATGATCTTCTAGGTTTACCACCTCCAAGGTGCCACACCACATACCCCATACCCCATGCAACATGTCCGTGCCCCATGCAACATGTCCGTGCCCCATGCAACATGTCCGTGCCCCATGCAACATGTCCATGCCCCTTGCAACATGTCCATGCCCCATGCATCATGTCCGTGCCCCATGCATCATGTCCATGTCCCATGCATCATGTCCGTGCCCCGTGCATCATGTCCATGCCCCATGCATCATGTCCGTGCCCCATGCATCATGTCCGTGCCCCATGCATCATGTCCATGCCCCATGCATCATGTCCGTGCCCCATGCATCATGTCCATGCCCCATGCATCATGTCCATGCCCCATGCATCATGTCCGTGCCCCATGCAACATGTCCATGCCCCATGCAACATGTCCGTGCCCCATGCAACATGTCCGTGCCCCATGCAACATGTCCGTGCCCCATGCAACATGTCCGTGCCCCATGCAACATGTCCGTGCCCCATGCAACATGTCCGTGCCCCATGCAACATGTCCGTGCCCCATGCAACATGTCCGTGCCCCATGCAACATGTCCGTGCCCCATGCAACATGTCCATGCCCCATGCAACATGTCCGTGCCCCATGCAACATGTCCGTGCCCCATGCAACATGTCCGTGCCCCATGCAACATGTCCGTGCCCCAAGCAACAGGTCCAAGCCCCATGCAACATGTCCATGCCCCATGCATCATGTTTGTGCCCCATGCATCATGTCCATGCCCCATGCATCATGTCCGTGCCCCATGCATCATGTCCATGCCCCATGCATCATGTCCGTGCCCCATGCATCATGTCCGTGCCCCATGCATCATGTCCGTGCCCCATGCCCCATGCTGATGCAACGTCTCACGGCTTACCAGCTCCCACGCCTCTTGGTAGGAGAGGTTCTTGAGAATCACAGCATCAGGCACTGGAGACGGAGCGAGTGGGGAGGAGGGGGCGAGAGGGGGAGAGGGGAAGAACAAGGAATGACGAGAGAGACAAGTGAGGGAGTAGGATATGCATGGTGGCTTACGGGGGAGTAATGCTGTAGCTCATGAGCTAAGAGGGCACCCCACCCTCTTCCTTCTCTCGCCCCCTTACACTCTCACACTCGCACACACCTTTCCTAGGGTCAGCGGAGTAAACCCCATCCACGCCCGTCCAGATGATCACCCTTTCCGCTCCCAGCAGTAACCCAAAGGGGATGACCCCAAACCCTTCCCTTCCCCCTCTCCCCAACGCCACTCACCTTTCCGGGGGTCAGCGGAGTACACACCATCCACGTCCGTCCAGATGATCACTCTCCCAGCGCGCAGCAGCGACCCAAAGATGGCCGCAGACAGGTCACTGCCGTCCCTCTTGAGCGTGGTGGGCACGCCGTCCTCGGTGCGCGCAATGAACCCCGTCGCCACCACCAGGTCCGGGCCCCCGCCCTCGTAGTGCCCGTCATCGCCCCTGGCAGCGTACCACGCGTGCAGGTTCTCCTCACAGCGCTCGTAGTTGGGGTCCACCTGGGGTGGGGTGATGGAGGAACACGGACACGGGGACGCCCAGGAAACAGTGATTGGGGGGCGGGGGTGGAGAGAGGAGGAAAAGGGGTGGTGGGCACGCCGTCCTCTGTGCGCGCGATGAACCCCGTCGCCACCACTAGGTCCGGGCCCCCTCCCTCGTAGTGCCCGTCATCGCCACGAGCGGCGTACCACGCGTGCAGGTTCTCTTCGCACCTCTCATAGTTGGGATCGACCTGGGGTGGGGTGATACGGTACGTGGTACATGTATGAGGTGATTGATTGCCGCCCCACACATGGCTGCCATCCAGACTTGTACGGTGAACCTGACAGCTGCTTACAACTCTACCTGACTACGCAGTCCATAATTTACCAACTTACAAAATTTCCGCCCAGAACTGCACCTGGCTGCCGCCCAGAATATCCCATCGTACCTGACTGCCGCCCAGAATATCCCATCGTACCTGACTGCCGCCCAGAATATCCCATCGTACCTGACTGCCGCCCCAAAATCAATCACCGTACCTGATTGCCGCCCTCTGCTGGGTGCACCACGAGCACGTCGCGCGCATCCATGAACGCCACCTTCTTGCCCGTCACCTGAAAAGGGGGGAGGAGGGGGGAGAGGAAGAAACCGAAAAATAAGGGGGGCCTCACGAGGAACAGGCGGTGGAGAGGGAGCGGACACAGCATTGGGGCGCACGACCTATTGCTCTGTGCACACAGCCTACCACACAATGAAGCCGCCAGCGCGTTGTGAGCGCATCACAGAAGAAGTAATCCCAGGATTCCACATTCTGTGCCTTGTGCAACAACTCTCACCTTCTGCAGCGTGGCGGTGAGGATCATGGCGGACCAGAGCTCGCCGTGCCCCACGATGAAGTCCGTGAAGATCTCCGTCGAGGTCCCCGCTGGCAGCGGCACAGGAAGGGTAGAGGGAGGGAGGGGAGGGGATACAGGGGGAAAGCAGCGGATGAATATCTCCGAGGAGTCGCCCGGTGGGGAGAAGGGAAGAGAACCGGGGGGGATGGGGTAGGGGGAAGGGAGAGGGCGGAGGACAGGTGAGAGCGGGAGGGGAGTATAGAGGAGAACCATTGAACACGGGTTTTTACACGGCTTGAAGGTTCACTAGGTCCTTGTTGATATTTCCCATCCCTATCTTACAGTTCCCATGCCATCACCGCTCAGAAGCACTCACCAATGGAGAGTGCTGTCAGCAAGGCTTTAAGGTTGACCAGGCCGTCGTCGGTCCGATCCATATCCTTAACCCTATAACACTCACCGATGGAGATGGCTTTGAGCATGGCTTTAAGGTTGATCAGGTCCTCGTCGATGCGCTCCAGGATCTTCTTCGTCTCCTCGTCCTCCTCCCCCAGCAGCTCCGCCGCTGCCGCGCGGTGCTTCTCGCGCAGCTGCGCTATAAGCTCCGCCCACCCGCTCGAGTCTTTCGCGGCCGCCTTGTCCAATAACGAGTACAGAATGTTGGTGACCTTGGGAGTGCCGCCCATGGCCGACACGACGACGAAGCGACGCTCCGCGGGGTCGCTGGCGACGATGCGTGCGACGTTGAGGATTCGCTCGGCGGATCCCACGCACGTGCCGCCGAACTTGTGCACGGACCAGCTGCCGCCCTGCGGCATGGTCATGTCGGCCACCTCAAAGTCCGTGTTGATGTCCTCTGGAGGGACGGGAGAGGAAGGGCCCCACAAGGGAGAGGAAGGGCCCCACAAGGGAGAGGAAGGGCCCCACAAGGGAGAGGAAGGGCCCCACAAGGGAGAGGACGGCATGAGGCGAAACACAGACCCACGCACGTGCCGCCGAACTTGTGCACGGACCAGCTGCCGCCCTGCGGCATGGTCATATCTGTCACCTCGAGATCCGTGTTGATATCCTCTGGGAGGGACGCAGGTGTGGGAGAGAAGGGAACCGGTACAAAGAGAAACAGCTCTGCGATGATGCCCCCTGAGAGCCAACCGCGCGTTCGAATGTAAGAAAATCGGAGAAAATGGGAGAACTAGGGGTTCGACGGATATCCTGTCACTACTCGCTCTAATGGAAATCACTCCAAGACGCATTTTTTGAGAAAGCAAACCAGAATCTGGAGGTCTTGACTCTGAGGTGCTTAAAAAACACATTCTGAAGGCACATTCCGTGAGACGACCCTGCAGGTCTAGAAGAAAATTCGGCTTTGGACATGGCAGTGCGGCTTCTGTGGTGCGAACAGATGCTTTCGTTAGGGTGCGGCAGTAGCCCCACCTAGCCCTAGGTTACGGCATCTTTTCAAGGGAGACAAACGAAGGAATTCATGGACGAGGTACCGGTTGAAACCCGTGTCGTCTCAAGGAGGATCAGACGCTTACCGGCAATAGCGGCGCGAACCGCGGTAGAGGGACGCGATGCAGGCACAGGAGCAGCCCTAGCGGTACTGCATTGGAGGAGTGGGGAAGGCAGGTGAAATAGAGAGGATGTCAGAACTGTATTCTTGAGAAGCCCTAAAAAAAGACGCGATGCAGGCGCGGGAGCAACCGTAGCGGTACTGCATTTGTGGAATGGGAAAGGCAGGTCAGACCGAGGAGATGTCAGAAATCTCGAGAAGCAGGCCTACGTTGCCGGCACTACCTAGGTTCAGAGTGGGTATGTGCCCACGGAGTAAACCGGAGAAACACGGATAACAAGACACGTTTGAATAGCGAATACGGAGTTGAAACACCTTAGTGATCGAAAAGGCAGGGGAGGATGAAGGGGGGAAAAGGTTAGGAAAATAAGGCCGTAAGAACATCCGCATTATCATCCGCATTCTCGGTTTCTTCCGAAGATCAGCCACATTCACCACACAAGCGACAGAAGAAGACATCCTGGGTGTAAAGCAAAACAGGATATGCTTCGCAGCAATGAAACACGCACGGTTACATTCTTTGCAAGCTGAGCGCGTCCTATACAGAATAAGGACAGTGGCGTGTTATGTTCAGCGCACTCACCCCTTGAGCTTCTGCTTCGCGGCAGACTTGCTCGTTTTAGAAGCCTTGAGTCCATTGAATAATGGGAGAGCGCTTTCTTTAGCGGCGACCGTCGGGACGGATTTGACAGGCGTGAGTCCCAACACCTTGGCACACTGGAGAGCAGCCATGGTTTCGTGATGACCCCGCTATCTAAGCTTTTCCAATGTGCAGCGACCTGGATCGGCAATGACAGATCGTATTGCTGTGTCGAGAGCTCTGCAAGTCACAGATGTAAGATCCTGTGACGAAGTTATTGACTGGAGGGTCTTCACAGAATCCGGAAGGACAAGAAACGCTTCAGTGGGTTTGTTGGTGTCGCCTTGTACTAGCGGCCTTGGGATCAGCAGAGTTGGGAATATAGAACAACGAAGAAATCTGCTCGATGCGAAAACTGTGCGAAACGAATTGAGAAAATACCATGCTGCGTCGACTTCTCATAACGGAAAGGAAACTCACGGCGACGAGGATTGACCCCGCATTCAGGACAGGTGAGCAAAGAGCTCCATCTTCACTGGATGAGGCTGAATGCCACGTTGGTTGCAGCCGAATCTGCACCCAGCTATTCGCGCGGGAAGGCCGCCTCGTACTTGAAGCTCTCTTTTCATTAGCTGCGACAAGCCACCGTTCGTTCGTAACTGGATGTTCGAAATCAAGTGCCAAATCAGCTCAATCGGACGATTTCGTAAACCAATCAAAGTATAAGCTCTCCGAGAAATGCTGGAAAGCACTCGGCGCCGAACAAGAACTGTTGATCCAGTCGCCTTCCACGGCAGCACGTGACAGGCTGGCGGAACTTCTGGATGTAGCCAGATCAGCAAAACCATCCAAAAATCCAGCGACATTCACATGTGCTAGTCATGTGATTTGTTATTGTAACATCAACACTTCTTGATTACACTTCCCTAATTACATTCAAGGTAGCACACTCAATGCATATTGAGAAGTTCATGAGTATGTGTTTATATGCATGCTGTCATTATATACATTCCTTTGCAACAACAAAATCGTACAAGAAATGCAGTCAAGCACTTGTTCTCTTAACAATAGCACTATCGCCTACAGCCATCTTGACCTCTCTTGCTCCTTGCCCTTCTTTCCTGCTGGGTCGGCTAGTTTTGGCAGCAGGTGCACTAGTCGGGGATCTCTGGGTGGCAGACACAAGATACTCCTCCAACCTGAGCACATCCGCGCCCTCACTGGCGGACAAAAACGGAACAGTAGACTCGCACAAGGTGACAAACGCAGAGAACGGGGCGGCACGCATCCCAAGCGAAACCATTTCCCTCGCAACCACTTCCCTCTCTCCCAATCTCTCCCCTCCAGCTCCCATCCTCCCACCACCACCACCGCCGCCACTGCCGCCGCCGCCACCACCACCACCACCACCTCTCCCATTCCCCGCTCCTCCCAAAAGTGCTCGCCCCAAACTCTCCATCACCTTACCCAGATTTTCCACGTCCCTCTGCTTGCCACTCCCAAACCGCACCAAAGCAGCGCCACTATCAACTGGTTCGAGCTCCAAGGGAGTGTTACGGCCCAGGGCCCCCCGCAGGAGGAAGCGCAGACGCTGGTGGGGGAGGGAGGGGGGTAGGCCCCACAGGAAGAGCACGTTGGAACGATCCTCCTCTTCCCTGTCACTGCTGCTGCTGCCACTGGTGCTGCTGCTGCTGGTGGTGGTGTGCCTAATGGGGGAGAAGGAGGAGGAATATGAGGTTCCAAGCGAGAGAGTATCAGGGGAGGGGAGGAGGGGGGCAGCACGGGAGCCAATGGCAGTGTGCCCCGTGGCGAGGTCCAGGTGGATGTCCCGTGCACCCTTGCCTATGAGCGTCGTGATGTTGGATAGGCCAGCCACTGCTGTTTCTGCAGCTAAATGTGCTGATTCCGATGCTGCTGCTGATTGTTCTGATTCTGATGCTGCTCGCCCTGATGCTTGTGCTGAGACTGTAGGCGTTTCTGCCACGACTGCGCTTCCATCGCTGCTCTCTTCACTGTGCTCCCTGTCAGTCCCTATCCTCCCACCACTGACAACCCCCTCTCCTCGCCTCCACCTCTCCACCACCCATCTCCTCCCTTCCCCCTCTCTCCCAAACTCACCTCTCCCCACCCCGTCTCCCTCCCCTTCTCCTTCTCCCCGTCTCCCTCTCCTCTCCTCTCTCCACCTCCCTGCCTCCTCCCTTGCAGCGGCAGCAGCAGCAGAAGCGGCAGGGGGGAGGGAGGAGAGGCGGTGGGGGGAGAGTCCAAGGCGGTGGCAGGCTTGGGCGAACACCACTCCTGTCATGAACGCATCGTATGCTGCCTCGTGCCTCGGATCCTGGCCGTTGGATGCGGAATATCTGACGGTCGAGATGGGTGGAGGGGATTTGGGAGTTGGTGGGGGACGGGATAGGGGGGAAGAAACAGTGAGACCCAAGGCGAAGGGGAGGGAGGAGAGGCAGTGGGGGGGGAGACCGAGGCGGTGGCAGGCTTGTGCGAACACCACTCCAGTCATGAACGCATCGTATGCTGCCTCGTGCCTTGGATCCTGGCCGTTGGATGAGGAATATCTGACGGTTGAGAGGGAGTGAGAGAGACAGAACTATGTGAATGTGCAGCGTGAGGGGTGGAGCGTAAGTGGAGGGCCCGGATGGCATCTCTGCAGTTATGGTGTGTGGAAATCTTTGGAGATGTCTCAAAACGCTACTTTTATCACATCTCTGCAGTTATGGTGTGTGGGAATATCTAGAAATGTCACAAAACGCGGCTAGAAAAAATGGGGGATAGCATGCCGTTAGTTCTAGGCAAACTATGTTAGAAGATTCACAAAGCACAGTTGAAAGAAGTGGGGGAAGGCATGGGGAATAGCATGCTGCCAGTTACAACACCTGGCCTCACTCTTCCTTCTTCTCTCATCCCCCCCTCTCTTCCTTGCGACCCTCTACTCTCAACCCCCCTTCCCCCCCCCACCCCCTCCCTCCTCACCTGCCAGCCTCGTGACTGAACCGCACCCATATGGGAACCCCATGAGATTGAAAATTGTTTCTGAGAAGTCTCTACTGCTCTACTCTCCCCTCCTCTCTCCCCTCCTTTCTCCCCCTCTTCTCTTCCCCCTCTCCCTTCTCACCTGGCAGCCTCATGACTGAAATGCACTCGCATGGGCGCAGAGTTGACTCAAAAGTCCACTCGTTACAATGCCATTTTAAGGTCAACTCGCCTCCCTCCCTTCTCCCCCTCTTCTCTTCCCCCCCTCCCTCTCTCACCTGGCAGCCTCATGACTGAAATGCACTCGCATGGGCGCCCCATCCACAAACGGAAGGTTCCTGGAAGTATCATACAGAGCGCCGAGCGACGCCCACCTGTTGGTGCTCGCAGCTTCCTGGAAGGTCCAAGGTCAAGGGAAGAAGAGAGGGAGGCGGTTGGTCGGATTGGAGACAAGGGAAGAGAATAAATTCGCTTTGCGACGCCTACTTTTGAGACATCTAAAATCTCAGAACCTTGAGACGCCTAGAAATGAATCATTTCACGCCACTAGCAGCTTCCTCTTACAACGTCAAAGAGAGACAGGAAGGCGGTCGGTTAGAGGCAAGGGAAGACACATAGAGACTTGTGAGCCAACTCAGCAGTCGCCAAGGGCAGAGGAAACGGAGGTCGATTGGACACGAGTGCCAACACGTTCTTGTACCACCTGCATTGCATTCCACCATTTCAAACCGTGTCTCACCCCCTTTGAGGTGCCTCAAAAGTCCGAACACCAGCATCTAGGTGACTTTTGAGTCGACTCAAAAGTCACCTTGTACCACCTGCATTGCATTCCACCATTTGAAACCGCGTCTCACACCCTTTCAGGAGCCTCAAATGTCGTCTCGTGGAGACGAGACGAACACCAGCATATTTTTGTACCACCTGCGTTTCACCATTTCAAGCCACGTCTCAAACCTGCTGCAAACACACCTGTGCTAGAAGCGAGGCAGCAGCAAGGCAACTGGTGTCAAAGAGAGCAGGGAAGAGCCGGCAGACTTCGCGAGAGAAGAGCGACGGGGAGGGCGGCACATGGCCCACAAACTTGTGCAGAATGTGAGCGAGGTCTGCGTGGGTGGGGGACGGGTAAGATGGGGACGGATGAAATCAGTGGGAGGACGGCGATGCTGTAGGTGAGAGGGAGGGCGGCACATGGCCCACAAACTTGTGCAGAATGTGGGCGAGGTCTGCATGGGATCATAGACAAGAGGGAATGTAACGGTGTAAGTAGTGAGGGCGAGAATGCTGTGTGTTTGAATGGAAGGGAAGGCAGGGAGGGCGGCACACAGCCCACAAACTTGTGGAGAACGTGAGAGAGATCTGCGGGTGTAGGGCTGGAAAAATCGGGGAGGAAGGACGGTAACCCAAGCCTCATTTTGGAGTGGAGGACGGCGATGGTGATGCTGAGAGGTAGGGCGGCACGCAACACACGAACTGGTGGAGAATGCGAGAGAGGTGTGGGTGGGTATGTAGAAGAACAAGACAGGGACGCGAGTATGCTGAATGAACTGGGTGTTTGAGAGGGCGGTCTACATTCGGCCCACAAACTTGTGGAGAAAGTTAGAGAGATCTGGGTGGGTGTGAGGCGGGAGGAAAGGGGAGGACATGCACAGAGGGGAGGGTGAAGATGTAGTGCTGAGAGCGACGGTGGGCGAAGGAGAGGCGTGTCTGTGATAATGTGTGTGTGGGTGGGAGTGTGTGTGTGCGGGAGTGTGTGTGTGGGAGTGTGTGTGTGCGGGAGTGTGTGTGTGGTAGTGTGTGTGTGGTAGTGTGTGTGTGGTAGTGTGTGTGTGGTAGTGTGTGTGTGGTAGTGTGTGTGTGGTACTGTGTGCATGAGAACCTACCAAGGAAGCAAGAGTGCACCACGCGCTGTGTTCCCTGAAACGTCAGAACATGGGCGTCCACTCCACCACTCGCCTCACCCATAGGGCACTCCACCACTCGCCTCACCCATAGGGCACTCCACCACTCGCCTCACCCATAGGGCACTCCACCACTCGCCTCACCCATAGGGCACTCCACCACTCGCCTCACCCATAGGGCACTCCACCACTCGCCTCACCCATAGGGCACTTCACCACTCGCCTCACCCATAGGGCACTCCACCACTCGCCTCACCCATAGGGCACTCCACCACTCGCCTCACCCATAGGGCACTCCACCACTCGCCTCACCCATAGGGCACTCCACCACTCGCCTCACCCATAGGGCACTCCACCACTCGCCTCACCCATAGGGCACTCCACTATTGGAACGCCTCCGCAACCTACCCCATGACTATTGGAACGCCACTGCGACCTACCCCATGACTATTGGAACGCCACTGCAACCTACCCCATGACTATTGGAACGCCACTGCAACCTACCCCATGACTATTGGAACGCCACTGCAACCTACCCCATGACTATTGGAACGCCACTGCAACCCTATGTTGGAAAAGTCGCGCCCAGCGCATTATACGCAAGCGTATATACGCTTGCGTATAGTGCGTTATGCGCTTCGTGAGTGACTTTGAAAGTCGCAGAAAGTACGCTGCCCGGGCAGCAAAAGGTTTTTACAGGGCAGACGAAAAAAACCGCCGAAGGAGGGGGGGGGGGGAGTGGTGGTTTTACCGAATTTCATATATTGAAAAAACCTTACATTCTCAACTACTCTAAGCAAGCAACATGCATCTCTCCTACCCCACCCCCTACTCCCACCCTCTACTCCCCCCGTCCCTTCCTTCCTCCTCTACTTGTACTTATCCTCCAGCTCATCCTCCTCCCCCTCCTCCTCATCCTCCTCCAGAACCTCGTTGTACCCTTCCGGCAGGGAGGCCTCAGGGATGTTCCCCGGGAGAACCGTCACCCCCTCAGCCCCCTTGTGCCAGTTGCGCACAATGTTCCAATTGTGCGCAACATACGCGAGGTCCCGACACTTCTCGGACCCCAACCTGTTGCGCTTGGCAGTGTGGATCGATTCCCACACTGCCCAGTTCCTCTCACACGCCGATGCGGACACTGGCTGAGAGAGAACGCGGCAAGCGAGCGTTGTCAGCTCGGGGTGCTCCGTCCCGTGCCACGTCCACCACTGGACGGCCGTCTTCTTACCGGCCTTCACGAGCTCAAGGTCAGAGATGGCGTCGGGTAGGCCGAAGCTCCCCTGAAGGGTGTTGAATGCCGTCAGGCCGTCCTGGATGACGTGGGATGCGCGCAGCTCCTCGCCCTCCTTGCGCGTGACGGTTCGCCCTGCGTAGTGACGAGCGACAAACGCTTTGAAGACGCGAGTACACTCCAGGTCGGTGCGGAAGATGCCTTCCTCTTGGTTGACCGGGTTGAGGATCTGGCCAACCACGTGCATGGCACACGCCATGCTATGGTCCCAGCGCTTTTGGACGATGTTGGTCACCTCCGTGCGTTCACTGCTGGACAGCACCAATCCCGCCTCCTCCTCCTCCAGCTTCGCAGTGATGTCTTCCGTGAGCTGCAGCATCAGATCGTACATCCTGCCCATCATGCCCTTGGCCATCGAGTCGGTCTTGCGCATGACGACAAAGGGGATCTTCAGGAGGGCGATGAAGAACTCCGCACCTTTCCACCACACGGCATCCATGATCATGGTTGCGAAGGGCTCGACCGGCGGGTTCACCCCTTCGCCCAAGCCTGCCACTCCGGGCTCAGCACCATCTGCGTCAATGCACTCCGCACCTCACAAAGCCGCTGCGCCGCGATGAATTGCGTGCCAAATCTGGTGCCCGCCGGCTTCAGCACCTGCTTCCCCTTCCCTCCCTTCACCTGCGGGCTTCGCATGTAACCTTTGGTGAAATGGTGGGCACGCACAAATGTAATAATCACCCCCGCCTTAGCCACAATGTTCTTCGCCCAATCCATTTTCCCAATGTCCTCCATAAGCAGATCCATGACGTGAGTAGCGCACGGCACATGCTCAATGTGAGGATACTCAAGCATGAGTTCCCTACATGCAGCCGCATAATTGCTGCCCCCATCCATGCATAACGCAACTATGTTGTCGGGCCCCACCTTCTCAATGATCGGGCGCAAAACGGATGCAATGTAACCTCCCGTCTTCGTCTCCAACTTACAGTCGATGCTTTCGGTGAACACTGCACTGGAATCGTTGATGAGCAGGATGTTGGCTTGGGGACGACCACTTTTGTCCGTCATCATGTCCGAGCCTATCGTCACGCCATCCCGCTTCCAGCTCGCAATGATGGGAGCGAGCCCCCTCTCGATCTTTTCGCGGCAGCGCGCAAGGCCGGCGCCACCAACATACCGCCGCTTCGGGGGAACGTAGCCATGGCCCGCGTCCGTGATGCAGCGCACAGTGTTGCGCCAGAGAGGGTGATCGGCGAGATGCTCCGGGAGGTGAAGCGCCGCCCACATGAGGCAGATGGCGTCGTCTGCCAATCTATGATGCGAAAGACGCTCAGAGGACGCTGCGTCCTGCGTCTGGACGCAGCGTCTGGACGCAGCGTCTGGACGCTAGGACGCAAGACGCGCGTCCAGACGCAGGACGCAGATCGAAATTTTTTCGGGCTGCCCCGATTTTTTTTTTTTTTTTCCAGATTACGAATTTCAATCTCGCGATTTCGACGCGACTGTCGAAATCGCGAAATTTTGACCCCCCATTGCCCAATTCGACATTGAAAAACAGTCCCCCCCCAACATTTCATAACCCCCCATGCAACAATTGAATTCCAAATACCTCTCAACCACTTCACAACTAGAAAACCCAGCCTAGGTGCCTACCACCAAGCCCATTTAGCAATCCAACCAAGTCATTTCTCATTTCACCCACCCAACCAATTCTCTTTCGAAAACCCTAGAGGTTTTAGCCTACAAGCATAGCTTAGCTCCATTATGGCTTCCTCAAGCAACCCTACGTCATCTAACGCATCTAGGGATGTTGGGGCCAAGTTTGCCTTAAAAGTGTGGAACGTTCCCCCCCCCCTCCTCATCCCATGCCCTTTAACAAGTTTTTTTGCCTGCCCGGGGGTTGTTTTTGCCTGCCCGGGACTGCGTCTTTTGGTGCGTTTTTCTGGTCCTGGTGAAGCGTCCTGCGTCCGGACGCATGCGTCTGGACGCATGCGTCCAGGACGCAGGACGCGTCTTTCGCATCATAGCTGCCAATTCCTTCGCACACGACGCCCCTTCCCCGTAGAAGTCTTCGATGCACTGCTTCTTCGCTCCACCCGCACACGCCTCGATCGCCATCTCCTCCGCCTTCTTCTTCCCTTCCCTGCGGGCGTGTTTGCCTTTGTACAATTCGCGGACGGCGCCGCGGTCAGCAGAAGGGATAGGCGCCTTGCAAAGACGGACGTCCTTCCGTTTCAGCCCTTTCCAGCGCGTGATGTGTTGCGCGCAACGGAAGGCGCCCCCTACCAACTTAAGCTTGCAGTGCCGGCATATGCAGAGAGTACGCTCAGGACCATTCGAGGTACCTTCGGTAGAGGTAAGGAAATGCTTAAAAATAACATGGGTGTTCACAGGAACATCCTCGTCGTCCGCCATGGTCGCGTCATTCGAAACACTAGGAGCCTCACTAGTGGCACTTGCGGGAGTACCAGAAGGAGTCGACATCAAGTGCAGGTGAGCGGGAGTGTTGAGAGAGAATGAACAAGGAGAGAGATAATACAGATGACGGGAATGAGAGCTTACCTTATAGTCCAGGATGTGGTTGAACCACCTACGCTGGTTGACGACATTCGTGTTTGTGTGTTGGAGTCGCGTGATAGCATAGGGTGCAGTGCGGTTCAAATTTTCCCACGTCCCCACATTTTGACAGGTGTGGGTGACAATGTGGCTGGGACGTGCGTACAAATTGGGGTGGGACGTGCGTACATTTTGAGTCGCGTCGCACATTCGCAATTCGTGCGCGACTATTGAAATCTGGTTTTTTTTCGGGTCAGCCCGAACTTTCGCCAACGAATATACGTACGACTTGCGGACACCGTATATTCGTAAACGACTATACGGAGTGCGCTTATGGTTTCTGGCGACTTTTCCAACATAGCTGCAACCTACCCCATGACTATTGGAACGCCACTGCAACCTACCCCATGACTATTGGAACGCCACTGCAACCTACCCCATGAATATTGGAACGCCACTGCAACCTACCCCATGACTATTGGAACGCCACTGCAACCTACCCCATGACTATTGGAACGCCACTGCAACCTACCTCATGACTATTGGAACGCCACTGCAACCTACCCCATGACTATTGGAACGCCACTGCAACCTACCCCATGACTATTGGAACGCCACTGCGACCTACCCCATGACTATTGGAACGCCACTGCAACCTACCCCATGACTATTGGAACGCCACTGCAACCTACCCCATGACTATTGGAACGCCACTGCAACCTACCCCATGACTATTGGAACGCCACTGCAACCTACCCCATGACTATTGGAATGCCACTGCAACCTACCCCATGACTATTGGAACGCCACTGCAACCTACCCCATGACTATTGGAACGTGTCAAAACACCTACCAAGGAAGCAGGAGTGCGCCACAAGCGGCTTATCCTGGCACGCCAGAGACAAGGCATCCACCACTCGCCGCACCCCCACTGCTCTGCGCACCACTGCTGCTGCTCCCGCCTGCCGCAGCTCCAGTAGCCGCTTCTGCAGGCAGAGCAGCACACAGAGGAAAGGAAACACGGGGGACAACATGCGTGGTTCACCCTTGCATGGTAGAGCCAGCAAAGGCGTCCACCACTCGCTTCACCTTCACTGCTCTGCGCACCACTGCTGCTGCTCCCGCCTGCTGCAACTCCAGTAGCCGCTTCTACAGAGACACACAGAGGAGGAGCGGGGGGGGGGAACATGGCACACGGTGCATGTTTTATTTATCCTGGCATGGTAGAGCCAGCAAAGGCACCCACTACTCGCCTCACCCCTACTGCTCTGCGCACCACTGCTGCTGCTGCCAGCCTGCCACAGCTCCAGCTGAGGCAACAGCATGCAGTGCAGTGGGGAGGAAAGCAAGCATTCAGAGCATGGGAACGTTGACGGAATGTGTGCGTTACTGCAGGTGCAGTGAAATGGAGAATGGTGACATGACAAAGGGAGTGAGTTACTAGTTTCCCTCCCCGGCAGTCCCTCAACTGCAGTCAGTCCCCCTCCCCTTGCCCATTTTTCAGTCGTCTAAAAGACATGCGCATATATATACATATATATATGTACATACATATATACAAATCAATATGCGCATGTATGTTCTATTTATGATGTGTACTCACCTGCACCCTCTCAGCCTCCTCTTTTGATTTGCACAGGAAGAGCCGAACTTTCTTGTACGCACCAATCCGCTCCTCATGCGACGCCAGATAGGGGTGCTTATGACGAATTGCCTGTAATTGAAGGCCCAGGCATTCGGCAAAAAAAAGAGGGGGGGGGGGGGGGGGGGGGGGGGAGGGAAAGATGGCGCAAGGAAGTCAAGTGATAACCAGCCAGTTTTTATGTTGACCAAAACATGTCAGAGTGATTGAAAATGTCAGCAAACGGAAAAGGAAATGTATCACGCAAAGTAGGTGGCAGAGCTTATGAAGTGCCTCCAGCAGAACTCGTGTTGAAAACGATGTGGCAAGGCATCGGATGGCATCCTCCCTCGAAGCTCTTGAAGAGGCAAAACAAGAGATGCAGGTGCAGGAAGGGAAGATTCAGAAGCAGGAAGAGTAGCTTCAGGAGCTTCGAGGGTGGATGGCTACAGAGGAGGAGGGGAGCTGCTGAACCATCCTCCCTCGAACTCCTGAAGCTGCTCTTCCTGCTCCCGGATCTTCCCTTCCTGCACCTGCATCTCTTGTTTCGCCTCTTTCGCTGCTCTTGTTGATGGCCTGTTGTTGACAAACAATAGCGTGGCATGGCATGGCATGGCATGGCATATCATACCAAGGTACATCACCTCACCTGGTCGGCAGCATGGCAGTTAAATGCGTCGTTGATTCGAAGAGAGAGCCACGGCCTCTTCCCAACCACTGCTGCTGCTGCTCCCATCCTCTCCCAAGGAATGGCATGGCCTGGCATGACATGGCATGGAATGTCATACCAAGGCACACAGCACCTCACCTGGTCGGCAGCGAGACAGTTGAAGGCATCATTTATTCGGAGAGAGAGCCACGGCCTCTTCCCAACCACTGCTGCTAACGCAGGCTGTAAACCACTGCTGCTGCTGCTCCCGTCCCCTCCCACACCCCTTACCGCAGCCTCCCGTGAAAATCCCTCTGGACCCTCCCCAAGCACACTACTCGCAACGCCCTTTGCCAAAGGCTGCTCCTCCTGCTGCTCCTGCTCCACCTCCTGTGCTGCTGCTCTGAGTTGCGCGAGCCACAGGTCAACGCGGGCCAGGCTCTTCACTGCAAACTGCACGCCGGGGAATGGCGGGCTTGACGGGTCGCTCCTGTCGCTGCTGTCCCGCCAGCTGTACCTGCTTGTGCTGCTGGTGCTTGTGCTGAATTGCGTGTGATTGGTGGGCTGTGCCACGTCAGCAGCTCCTTTTTGGCTGGGGCCTACGGTTACATTGGTGGCTGTTGCTGATGGGGGAGGGATCTCGAGAAAATTCCATGCGGCTTCCTCTTGCTCGTAGGACAGGTACGAGATTCCTGCGGAAATGGACGGATGAGATTGCATCAGAGGTTCGGGGATGGGATGGGGAACGGCACGGATTCATGCATGAATTCATGGATGCATGGAGGCATGACCATCATACTCACTCACAAAAACCATCACCCACCATGCTCCACCCATCAGCACCACCACCCACCATGGTGCACCCAGGAGTTGAAGTCGAGGTGGTGTGCTGCCAGGAAATCTAATGAGGATGGCTGGCACTGGAAGGAATGAATCACAGGCACCTCACACCACACCACCACCCCCGACCACTCATCACCCATCCCCCCACCCACCACCCACCGCCACCCACCGTGCTGCACCCAGGAGTTGAAGTCGAGGTGGTGTGCTGCCAGGAACTCCAACGAGGATGGCTGGCACTGGAAGGAGAGTGCCGGCACGCCCTTAAATCCCGGGATCTCCGACCGGGGGAACACCTTGAAGTTGAACCTGGATACAGGGGACGGGGAAGGGGTGGGGTAGTGGTGGATGGGGGAGGCTCTAAAGAGGACGGCTTGCTGTTGCTGCGACCTTGACTAGCAAGGCAAAGGGAATCTAACTCACGGTGAACAGTAAATTCCCTTTGCTGCTCATCCCACTTGAACATGCACACACGCCTAGTTACAATACATCACAGTGAACCAGACAGAAACACGACTCACGGGTGAACGATAAACTCTTTCCTCCCTTGGTCCCACTTGAAAATGCACACGCCTAGCTGCATCACTGCAAACTGCATGGCGCTGTGCCACCCGTGCAGGCTCTCACTCACACGGGTACTGCTTACTTGAACATGCTCACGCTCAGGTGCATCATGCATCAAATTATCCGGGTACTCACTTGAACGAGATTATACAAGGATGCTTACGGGTGAACGATGAACTCTTTCCTCCCTTGGTCCCACTTGAACGTGCACACGCCCAGCTGCATAACTGCGAATTGCATCGAGCTGTGCCGCCCGTGTAGGAACCGCGTTGCTACAGTGTCCGAATGCAACGGTCGCCTGAACGACCCCGAATCCAGACCGCTCATTTCCAGATCCAGACAAACGAAGTCAGCCGCTTGCAGCGCGGGTTGGAATTGGGTTTCAAACACTTCCTCAAAGTTCTCGCGGGTTACCGAGGCTACGGTCAGGTTCGGAGGCAGGTCCGGGGGCTGGTGCCGAGGCTCGGGTTTGGGTTGTGCCGAGCCTGGCAGATGGATGGTGGAGCTGCTACGGCGACCAGCGGCTATTGCCGGGATATCCGGCGGAATTTGCGCTGGTACGTTTGTGTCGATGCGGAAGCGCGTCCCCCAGAGGAAGGAGCGAAGAAACTTCCTCGGGGATGTGTGTGCGGGTGACGTGGAATAGGTGATCTGCCTGAGTGATGCTATCGAGGGACGATGCCGGAAGTGTGACAATGTTGAATTAACGGAGCGGCTGGCGTGAAACCGCGATGAGGAAGGTGGCTTCGTGAGATATGAGCTACTAACCGGTTTACCGGCTATCATGGAAAATGCGGCGCGGTGAAGCTTAAAGCGCTGATAGAGTGTACTTGGAGAGCTGGAGGCGTAAGTCGAGGGCACTGAAGTAAAGACAGGTGATGACGTAAGCGAGTGGCACACGATTAAAGACCGCGAGGCGACTAAAGCAGGAAAAGTGATTAAAGACCCAGTGGTCAGTCGACTGCCGATAGCCCCATCACAGGAAGCACGAGCAAATAAGGCCCGCGACAATATCGAGGCGCGAGAGGATTTTGATATCGGGGCACGTGAGGCCGAGAGAGAGCACGCCATCACTCCGAGCGCCTTCAAGCCTCCAAGAACCGGCCTGATCCTCTGAAACTCCTCACATCGCCAGCTGGGTTGCTCTCCGCGCCTTAGACACTAGCAATAGGCCCATCTGTGGCACATGGATCTCCAAGAGACCACGGGGGAATGGCTCCAGACCAGAACAGACGGGTGGCACTAGTAAAATAGGATATCGAAAAAATATAATGCGACCGATTATGAGCTTCGTTACTGCATACAGTTATAAAAGAATTTGAAGTCATACTGTGTGAGTCTTATCATGTTTCTAAGTTCAGTACAGTTCAGACTCGCCTACCAATTAGGGCGTGTAAAATCCCTGCGCATTTGCGAAAAATGGGTTTGGCCGGGATTTTGTCGACCAAAATGGCCGACATTTTTTTCGCACAAAGCGATCAGATGGCCGAATGAAAGTCAACCAATAAGCAACCATAATATACAGTTCAGCAAAGTTCACAATTTTGTTGGCCGATTTGCAGGCCGACTCCAGAAAATTGTAAACTTTCAAATGGCCGAAGTGCGCGACAGAGTCGCAAGCTTGTACCCGATACTGGAACGCACAAGTACTTCACTCATGACTACAGTCTGAGTGTAGGTTCTGCGGTTCCGTTCACACACGGCTCTGCGAGTCACATTTAGCCAAGTGCCAATGCCTTGTCTCCACTACAAAAGGAAACCGCAAAAAAAGTCCTCACTAAGCCTTGCAATGGCTACCACTTTCACTCCGCTTGCAACCCGCCAGCTAGCCACAGGCCTGGTACAGGCTGCCCTTGTACCAAGGATCACCACCATGCCGTTACTCGTCCCCCCGCTAATGGAATACGCCGACGACTCAGAGTACCAGATGTTCTGGCGTCGGGACCGTCAGATCCAACGCGCACGATGGATGGATCGGTTCTTACACCTAGCGCCCGAACACACGTACGAGGCGTTGCGGGTCGAAGGAAATGTTTTTGGTTACCTTTGCAAGGCGTGGGCAACACATCTCATCTCCACAGGCAAAAAGGCGTGCAATTTCACGCTCCAGATTGCCACAGTGCTCGCCAGGTTCGGAAGTGGCATGACGTACCTGGAGCTCGGGCTCATGTTCGGATTCAGTCAAACGCGTGTTCACCAAGTGTGCTAGGCGTGGATTAACTTCAACATCGACTAATTAATGGAACAATGAGTGACTTGGCCCGACGAGGATGACCTGTCGCTATGGGAGGAGGACTTCCGCTGGGACATCGGAATTCCCGGCATCGTAGGTGCCATGGACGGCACATATATCCATACGCGCGGCTAGTGTGAGAGTACGACGGCTTATGCCAGCTATGCTTGCTTGCCTTTACTTTATGATGCTATTTCTAGCATAGGATAATGTCAGAGGTCCACTGGTGATCCCCGATTGATCCTAGGGAGTTACAGGCACGGTTGCCTGGGGGGTTATGGGCGCACTGACCCGCTACTTAAACAAGCCCTTTTATCCCAATGGTCTAGTGGTTGGGATTTGAGATGGTATCCAAAGCGAAGGTCTCGGGTCCGAATCCCGGTGTGTGCACTTGGGGCATTCCAGTGAAAGGGGGTGTCAGAGGTCCACTGGTAATCCCCGATTGATCCTTGGGAAGGGTTACAGGCACGGTTGCCTATGGGGTTATGGGCGCACTGACCCGCTACTTAAACAAGCCCTTTTATCCCAATGGTCTAGTGGTTGGGATTATGAGAGAAAATTATATGCATGCATGAATTGCTTGATTTCCTAGGCTAGGTGCTTTCCTATATTTTATTATAGTTATAGCACCGAGCTAGGTTGCGAGCACCGAATTCTGGCTTTTCGGTTGCCACCGAATTGCCTTCTACCGAATTCGGGAAGGATCTGTTCGAGACGCTCGCGACCCGCGGAACCTTCGCGTAACACCTGGTTACGGGGCCTTGTGTCGAGCCTACATATAGCCTCGTGTCGTACCCAGTGAGGAAAGTAGAACGAGGATGAATGACTAAGGAATGGAAGTGATACAAATATGCAACCCTAGAAATGTGTACCCCATATAGGCTACCCCACTATAGCCTACACAATATTATAATTTGACACACCCCCATAGGTAAAGTGGGGGAGAACAAGGGGTCACAAGACCAGTCAAGCAAAGCAGACAAAGCTCAGCGTGGATCACAACGTCACCACACAGTCCGAGCACAAGGTCAAGGCCACAAGGCCAGTTCACATGCAGGAGTACACACATATATATAAGGCTAAACAAGCAAGAGCAGGTATATATATATGTAAGAGTACAAGCAAGGTCAAGGGGTGAGCAAGTGAGGCAAGACAGGCACAAGACCCAGCTGAGTGCAGAAGCGCTGATGATCACAAGGCGGAAGTGCCTTGGTGAAAACATCAGCAGTTTTGGCCTCAGAGGCCACGTACGCAAGTCGCAACTGACCACGCTGCTGCAACTCACGAGCAAGAAAGTAGCGGAGAGCAATGTGCTTCGTTCTGTGCTCCAGGCGCTGCTCCCGACACAAGGCTAGCATGGCCTTGTTGTCTACATACAACACCGGAGGAGAACGAGGCGGCTCTCCGAGGTCAGTCAACAGGTAGGTAAGCCAGCGAAGCTCATGTGCAACCATGGCCCCGGCGTAGATCTCAGCCTCACAACTGGAGCCGAGAACAGAAGACGAGCAAGTAGCCCGCCACGAAACAGAGCCGGAACCAAGGCTGAAGGTGTAACCCTGTGACGACCGCTGCGTAGCCTGGTCGTCAGCCCAAGAAGCGTCCGCGTGCCCAGTGAGGACCACTGGACTCCGCCCTCCAAGCACTAGCCCCATGCCCGACGTACTGCACAAGTAGTGCAACACCCTCTTCGCTGCAGCCATGTGCTCTGGTATGTGTCTCCCAGGAGCAACATAGCGTGCAAGAATGCTAAGAGGGTATGCAAGGTCAGGTCGTGTGCAGCTCATCAGGTACATGAGGCAGCCAACAAGCTCTGGGTAAGGGCCACTCGACTCTACAGACTCATCCGAAGGCAGAGCTGAGAGCGAGTGGCGAGTAGACAGAGGAGTGGCCTGAGGCGAGGAGTACGTGAAGCCGAAGCGCTGAAGGACCTGCTGCACCATGTGTGACTGAGTCAAGGTAATGGTGCGGCGTGCTCTGTCCCGGGTGATCTGCAAGCCAAGGTAGCTGCGCAGTTCACCCAGGTCTGTGCACGTGTGTCTCTTCTGCAGCTCGGACTTCACGTGGGCGAGTCCAGCTGTGTCAG